GGCCTGCTCGGCCTGCGACTGCGAGTGGGCGGACCGACGCAGGGGGTCGCCGTCGTCGTCGCGTTGCACATCCCGGGGCCTGGGTTCGAATCACGCCGGTCTATTTTTTCCCGCGGTCTGACGAAATCGAAATCGAAATGACGCGGGGCTGCGGGGACGCTGGCGGGCGGGCGAGGCAGGGCGCCCGGCAGGTAGGCAACCCTGCGGCACGCGTGTCGGCGTGTTGCCTGCCGCCGCGCCTGTGGCGGCTTGACGGGCAGGGCCTCGCCGGAGGGGACGATGTTGGGGCCGCGAGCCGCGAAGACGCGACGCGCTCCGCCCCGCCACGCCCCGCCACGCCCCGCCACGCCAGGCATTCGGTCAAAACAAGGTAAAAATAGCAGTGGCGGCCCCTCGGCCGCTCGGGCGGCGCGGCCCGGTGCCGGATCGGCCCTGCTGACATTGCCACGCCTTGCGAACGGCGCGAACGTCGGCGATGCCGCTATCTTGGCGACGGTGTTCACGCCGCCCCGCCGGCCTCCCCCAGCCCACCGGACGCGGGAAGCGGCAGCACGCTAAATTTGCGATTTGCGGTGTGCTGCCCATCCCGCCCGTGTCCGGACGCTGTCCGCGGCGTGTGCGTACTGTTGCTTTCTTGGCAACGTGTCGCCGCCACCGCGCCACCGCCTCCCTCCAGCAGGCCGAGCAGCCCGTCGTGGCCGTCTTGGCACCGGGCCGGCTGTGCCCTATCGCTTCTCGGAACGCTCGCTACTAGACGGAACCGTCGAGAATGGCAGAATGGCTCACCGGCTCGCGCGACTTGCGAATCGCTGGACTTGGCCCCCGCGGCTTTAGTGGACAGGTGTTTGGAGATTCCGCCCGCGGCCGCGTCGCGGTGCTCGACTCGGAGCGCGGCAATGCGCATCCCCTGTCTGCCTGCCGGGGACAAAAGTCAGCACATCCTCCAATAAAATCGCTGTCCGTCTGTCGGTCCAACAGTCTGCCGGTCTGTCTGCCTGCCGTGCGGGCAGCCCGTCTGATTGCCGTGGAATGTGCAATGTGACGCGGCGATATCGCCAGCTGATCAAAGCTCATGGCGATTGGCGCGAGGGGGTCAACCAACCGGCCGGCCCGGCCGCCCGTTTCGGCGCCAGTGTTTTATGGCTGACTTTATTTCTGCCGAACTGTCGCTTCGGTTCGGCTCAGCCGATGTCGGTCGCGTTGTCGCTGTCTCGGCTGTTGCATATTCAGGGCCGGGCCGGGGCGGGGTGGGGCGGGGCGGGGCGGGTCCCTGGCCGTGCGCGGCTGCACTCATAGACACGGACCAGCGAGCCCGTCGGAGTATCGGAGCCCCGGAACCATTTGAGTGGAAATGCATGCGCTTGCTCGCCGTGGCCACGCGGCTCCGCGGCTTCGCGGCTTGCCGTGGGCACGACCAACCGGCGCGGCAAGACGGGCCTGCCGCGCCTGCACTGCACTTCGCTCATGACCAGCCATGTGTGTGGCTCGCATGCGCTCCTGCGCCGGCAGCGCGCCTGGCCACAGGCGGCCACAGGCCTGTAACGGACGCTCCAGGAAGAGCCCGTATCTCCGAAGCAGGCGCGGGCCAGCTCCGAGGGGGACGAGAGTGCCAACACAACAGAGATTCCGTCTTGGATCCATGGACCTCGCAAACGGCGAGAACTCGATGCCTAGGGTAACAAAATTCGGTGCTACAAATTGACAAACTGAGTCGTCCTGTTCAAAACAATGTCTCTAGCGCGCACCGTTGAAGAGAGACATACCCAAGTTAATTTTATTGACCAAGTTAGCTGCACTGGAGCGCCTCGTCGCGGCCCCTTCTATCGTGCTCCACGCGATAACCGCGTACTGTACTTGTCCACTTTAACGGGGCATTGGTCGCGCAATCTTATCCGGCGATACGTCCGTCCGGCCTGCCTGCCTGCCTGTCTGCCTGACGGGCCGGCCGGGCCTGAGTCTCCCCGGCCGCCACAAAGCAGCCTGTCCGTTTTTGCTCGGAATCCTTGGAGTGGAGGCGTACCGAGGCGTATCGTGGAGGGCCACTGCCACACTTCCCGCGGAAAGGGACAGGGCTCGATAAGGGGAAGGGAACGCAGCCTGCGCGGCCGCAGCCCCGTCTGCTGCACCAGAGGGACCAGAGGGACCCAAGGCGGCTGGCGGCGGCTGCCTTGCTGGGCGGCTGGGCGCGCGAGGCGAGCGCGAGGCCCACGAAAGCAATAAGTCGGCGTCCGTCCGCGTTAAACTTTTAGCAGGGGGCGAGCTGGCGCTCTCGCGCGGAGGCCGCCGCACTTCGGCTCGTACTTCGGCCGGCCTCCGCCCGGAGCAACAGGAAGCAGTCACCGCCAAGAAAAAGAGAGAAAAGCCCGAGACCGATTTCGCGGGAAATTTGATTTTGTGGGCGAGCTGCGGGGTGGACGGCAGACAGGCGACGGGGCGGGGCGGTTCACTAGGGCACTGGGTTGTCGGCCCGGCGGGCCTCGAGGTGCAGTGAACCGCGACTTGATCGCTGCGTCTGGGAAACGTCGAGCGGCACGGCGGCACGGCCGAGGACCCGGCGCGGCGGCCGCGGTTAGGGACCTGGCCGCCCGGCCTCCAGGGCCTCCAGGGCGTCCAAGTCCAACGCACCGCGTATCGATAGGCCGGGTCCTCCTGTCCTTTCGTCCTGACCCCGGGCCGTGATAACATGCCATGGCTCCATTGGGGCGTCGCTAGCGTCGCAGCCGCGCTGCGGGGCTCCAGTCGGCGCGGCAAGGTGGAGGCCGTCCAGGCCGACAGCGCGGCAAACACGCGTTGCGTCAACACTGCCTGCTCCGCCTGCTCCATGCGACAGCTGGGCTCGTCGCCGCACCTCCCCGCGCACTATAAATAAGGCCTTGTATCGGTGCCCCCCTCCCCCACCACCGAACCGGCCTGGGGGCCCCGGCATGGCCCCGGCATGGCCCCAGCATGGCCCCAGGGGCGTCGCGTCGCTGTGATGCGCCGCATCGCGCTGCACTGAGCCGCCTCGGCCGGGACGGACCACGGCGGCGCGGCGTGGCGTGGTGTGCTGCTCGTGCACGGGCACGGTGCGAGCTCGGCCCGTGGCATCCAGGCTGCGGACCATGAGGCTTGTCTGCAGTGTCGCCGACTTGATGAGGAGTCCAACTCCGGCGAGTGCTGGGAGGACGGCAGGGCGGCCTCTGGGGCCTCTAGGGCGGTCTCTAGGGCCTCTAGGGCGGTCTGCACTGCCCAGCCTAATTGGCATTCTGAGGGCCTCCCGTCGACCCTGTCGCTCCCTGCCTTGGCGGCGAGCTCAGCGGCCAGGGTGGCTCGCCCTCTCACTCGCCGCCCTCATAGCGGCCTCTGCCACGGACGCCTGCACTGCTAGGCCCTACGCCGCAAGGACAACCCCCGGGCCGGGCCCGCCACCCACCAGCAGCAGCAGCCGACTGGCGCAGAACTTAGCCTCGCTGTCTCGCTCGCACACAAGGGGTGTCCCGAAGGGGAGCGAGAGAGACGACAGCAGAGCGACCAAGCGCCGCGGCGTTTTATTAGTCCGTTTGCCGAACTCTCGCGGCTCGCTGCCTCTCAAATTGACCGGACTGCATGAAACAAGCCGACGGGGACACCCCGCCTGCCCATCGACCCACTGGGACCAAACAGTGGCGTAGCTACGCGAAGCTAATGGCAGCTGGTCGCAGACACTTGCCGCGCCAAGCCTACACTGCTCCAGCCTGAGGACGCCCTCCGCGTGGGGCTTCCCCCGGCCTCCCCGCGCCACGCCCGCTACGCCGCTGCCCCGGGTTATTTTGGGCAGGGCAGAGTCAGGCGGAGAGCCTCCGTGGGGCCGGAATTAGAAACTAAAGCTTGGAGCGCCCAGCGCGCGGTCCCCGCCACGCCCCGCCACCGCCATCTGGCCGATATCAGGAAATACGTGCGCGGAGGGAAAAGTGCACATGGAGGACGCCGGGGCCCCGCCGGGGGTGACTCTGCGGTGATTTACCGCTGTGGTGCCGACCCCGGCAACTCGTTCCTAGCAGCAGCAGCAGGTCTTGACGCCCGCTGTCTCGCAGTCCGTTCGTCCGCGCGTCCGCCTGTCCGCCAGCCTCTTCCGGGGACGACGGACAGCCTCACAGTTTTCGGCCGAACGACGTGGAGTGCGTCACAGCGGTACTCGCGGAGCGATGCGCTCCTCGCAGTGTGGTCGCGTGGTCGCATGCACGGCGGTGCACAGCCTCTCCGCTCCGGTTGCAGCGCCGCAGCGACCACACTGCGAGTCGCCCGGTCATTTGCTGGTCGCTCCTCGGGGTGCCTCGGGGGGCAGGCGGGGACGGGGGACGTTCCACTAGCCTGGCCAGGCTGCCGGCCGGACATCGACACCTATAATGGGCTTCGTGCGTCGCTGCCGTGCCGTCCCGCCGTCCTGCCCGCTATATGGCCGCACATCCTATTATCCGTTCGGAGTATTCACCGCGCGGCCCGTTATGACCACCTCAATGACCACCGCGGAGATTCCTACCCCCCCCCCCTTCTCTCCCCACGAGCTCGTCTCCCATGGCAACCTCACATCCCCACGCACAGCGCCTCGCCGCGCCTCGCCGTGCAGGGGGCGTCACGGAGACGCGCTAAACTTAGAACCTAACCCTCGCCCCCCCCCCCCAAGCATCCTCCTGCGCCGCCCATTTCATCTGCGGTTCGCGCGGTTCACAAAAGGAGGGGGGGGGGTCGCAACGCCCCGGTGAGTCACCGCCACGCCACCCCCTTGTGCCGTGCCACCCCCCCGCCCCGTGAGTCACTGGAGGGATGCTGGCGCCGAAACTAAGAGGTGACTCAAACCGCTCAAACTCCTAGTCGTCATCGTTTTGTTGTCGAGGCGCGGTGCGTCACTGTATACTTCGTCACCCGACTGTGCTCGGTCTCCAGCCCGCGGTTTGGCGGTCTGGCCGGGTCTGGCAGCGCCGCGCGGCCGAGCGGCCGCGACGCAAGGAGGGCGTTATTATCAGCTTATCAATGTGTTTCAGGCGGCAGCTCCAAGGAGTCCAAGAAGGACACGCTGTCGCCGTCGGGAGGCGGCTTCGGCTTCGGTGAGTATGCGAGTTCGGGCTTCGGCCGCCACTTCATTTAGCGATGACGTCATGACCGCGATTCCGCGGGGCTCGCTCGCGAGCTCGAGCAGTCGGCCCGGATCGACACAGATGGCTTGTGACGAATTTCTCAGTCACGGATTCGCCGTTTTCTTCGGATAATGATTAATTTTTGCCGTTTCTCAATAAGAAGTGACGTTGGGCTGACCATGACTGGTGTGTTTCCAGGACCGCACATTTGGCACCGGGAGGACGCGCGGGCAGACTGTCTAGACCGTGAGAGTCGAATTTCCATCTTGTTTTCGTAGTCCGCACGCTTCGTGTGGAAAGTAGCACGGTAGAAGTTGGGTAGAAGTAGCACTGTAGACTGGCATGCGCTGCACTGGTACTGTACTTGACCGCGGCGCGGGCGTCGCCGCTCTCGGTTTGCACAACACCTAGTGCCTTTTGCTTCCCGAGTGATATTCAATTCTCCGAATCGCCGTCAGCTTTCTCTGACGCAGATTGATTTTTTGTGTGCGTGTGTGGAAGTGCGAGTGTGTGGGTGTTGTGAGTGTGTTCGAGTAATTTACCGCGACCTCAGCAGCAAAGCTCTACGCGAGAAGAAGAAAACGCAGCGACTTTCGAGGCACGACGCGCTGCTCGAGACAGTCTTGACTTGTTCGGGGTTGCCGCCCGGAACCAAGGCGAGGCGGCAGCGCAGAAGTGTCTCGTCGCTCTTTCTCTGTCGCAGCCCCGAGAGTGCGAGAGAGACAGCGCACTGTTTGGAATGAGCGCGCAAGGCGGTGCAAGGCGGCGCAAGACGAGGGCCCGCGAGTATGGAGTACGGAGGCACCGCGAGTGCAACGACTTGGCGCCTTGGCGCGCCTTGGCGCATCCCCGCGGTGGCGGTGATCCACCACTTTCACTGCGTCGGCCTGCCCTGCCGCGGCCCGCCGGCCTTCCCCTGCACTGTGAGGCGAGGCGGCAGGGCGTGGCGCCGCGGCTATGCGGCCTTGGCGAGCGCGGCCGGCGGCGGCAGCGCGCGGATTCGCGCTAATTCGAGAAAGAGCCCCGAACCCTCGTCGTTGCAGTGCAGGGCGCGTGGAGCGGAGCGCGAAGGAGTCCTGGCCGGTTTCGGTTTTGGCGGTTTTGGCGCTGCGGGTTGGCGTCGCGGCCCCGGCGACCGTTGACCCCGCGACAGGGCACTGCCGGGCACCAGGCCCACGGCACTGTGCGGCAGAACGAGTTGGCCGCCTACTCGGCGAGGCGAACAGTCGACGGGGCCCTCTGCCGCCAGCCGCCCAGGTGGACTTGGCGCGGCCGCGCGTCGGAGAGTCGTTGACGTCGGCGTCCCCGTCGCCTTGTCGTGGCACCGGAGCGCGCCGCCTGTTGGCGTCCGCGACCGCCGCGTCGCGCCGCGTCGTCGTCGGGGCCGAGGCGGGCCGTTATGGGAAGCCGAAGCGGAGCGGAGCGACATCGGCAGCTGGCCGCGCTCCAGTCAGTGTCGGCAGGAACAACATTCGGAGCTGCCAACATTCGACACGCTCGAAAATTATCTGGGTTATTACTTTTCCCGCCGATGGTGGTGTTGATTTGCGAGGAGAAACATTTACCTCCGAGAGCTCCCGCGCGTTTAAAAAGGTGTTCCCGCAAAGGTTCCCCCAGCCGCGGCTCCGTTTCGCTGTCGGGGAAGAGCGGGGCTTGGTTCCGCCGGCCACTCCGCGCTCTGTGCCGGCGCAAAGCTTTGCGCAAAGCTCTGCTCAAAGTCAACACTGGCCATAATTCAGAGAGTCGGCCGTCGAGTCGTGCTACGCGTGCTTCGCGTCGTGCGGGGCTGCCGTCTTTTTGTCGGCCTCTGCCGCCAGCCGCCCGATTCCGAAGCATCTGTCTCTCTCGCACCCTTGCGGCCTTACGGGACGCCCCACGAGTGCGAGAGAGACGGAGCGATGATGCGATCCTTCGGAATCAGTCGCGGAATGTGGCGCTGCCTCGCGTTGCCTTTCGTTAATGACTGCTTCGACTCATCCACGTGGATGGCGGTCTTCTTCGTGTTCTCCGGGTTCCGCGTCGCGCCGCGCCGCGTCGCGCGCCACGGCGGCGTCCTCGAGTCGCCCCTTTCCTCCGGCTTGCCGCTGCACCGCGTCGTCGGCCACGCCCCCCCGCCGTAATTGGCCCAGCAGTGCCTGCCGTCGGCCTGCTGGAGCAGCCACTGGAGTGCCGCGTCATCGGGGAGCTTACGACGGAAAGGTTCGGGGGGCCAATTACCGCCACCTTCTTGGCCTTCTCGGCCTCCTCGGCCTCCGCCGCGTGGAGCGTGGCGGCGGGCCGGCCGAGCCACAAAACCCGCGGAAAGCTTTCCACCAGGACGCGGACGGCTGCTCTCAAAGTAAATAATAAACGCGCACGGCACGGGCTGGCTGCTGGAGGCCGCGTCGCAGAGCGAGTCTCCTCGGCCTGGCTTCCAGTGCAGTGCCACGGCGCCTGCCGGGTAGGCAGCCGCGGCCCGACCGCCACACTGGCGTGCTGCGGGTCTGCCTAGCCTCTCATTGCCATTGCCACTAAAGGCTAGACCCCACATGATCGTATGCCATTTCGGGCCCAACACATCCCGCCTCACTGCAAAACGAGACATGGCCGTCCTGGCGACATGGCGACTCCTTCGGAGCATCGCTGGCTGCAAGGAATGCATGGGCCACGCCCCGGGCGCAGTGTCGGCAGACCGCGTGACCGCGCGGTGCGTTGCGGTGCGGTGCCCGTCGATGCGGACAACACGTCGGCGGCATCGCGGTGCGGAACGTTATCGCCGCTCGGACGTCAAAAGCCGCGATTGGGCGCGTTTTGCCGCCGCGGCCGCGTTAATCTAATCAGTCAGCTGGTGCTCGAGAGACATTGTGGTGGAGGCGGCGGCGCGGCGGCAGGGTGTGGTTGGCGAGGCGGCTTGCGGTTTCCGCGCCGTGCCCAGCCCGGCCCAGCCACAGTGGGCCAGAAAACCGGTGGAGGCGGCCAAAACTCTAGACGCGTTTTGAGCTCCAGAGTCGCTGAACAGGACTCGAAACGAACGTGTAACCCCACCAATGGATTCCTCGTTCGGAGAGCAATCCATTGGTGGGGTCACACGTTCGGTTCTAGTCCTGTTCAGCGACTCTGGAGCTCAAAACGCGTCTAGAGTTTTGGCCGCCTCCACAGGTCTTCTGGCCCACTGTGCCAGCCCAGCCCCGCGGCCAAGACCAAAAGCCGACCGGAAATCGGCCGTTGCCGGGCGGGACTGCCAAGCCTGCTAAGGCCTGGCGAGGCATGCCCTCTGGTGGCGTGTTTCTAATCCGACATTTGGGTTCGAGTCAGATAATCACGGGCAGTTCCAAGTATCGCGCCTCGCTGACGACGGCGGTGGTGGCTTGGGCTCGACGAACGGGCGGCGGCAACGCGGCAACCGAACAGACGATCGTTGCGGTCCAGCGCCCGTCGAGCTCGCGATGGCCCTGCTCTCGCAGGCAGTGCCCTGCTGGCGTGGGTGGCACGGTCTAATACGACGCCTGGGCGAGTCAGTTCGATGCAAATCAGCATCCGCGCGACTTGCGCCCCGACATGGAACACTGCTGCAGCAAATGTTGCTCCTCGGCGTGCACGTCCGTGGGACGGAGCCGGGCTAGGCCGCGCCTAGGCCCCGCGGTGTGTCGAGTGCGTTCGCGATAGCGCCTGAAATAGAACTACGCCCGTTGGATTCTCATTATCGGGGCGATGGAACGCACACCTCGCGTCGCGGTGCCTCGCGGGTGGACGGGGGCCTCCTTGATGTCGTTACGAACGCCCTTCAGAGTGACGGCCGTTTGAAAGACGCGCACACACTCACACACACTACGCGTGGCACACTACGAAACGGCCGGAATGCACTGTTCGTCCCGTTCCGTGCTCGCGTGAGAGCGCCGTGTCACTGCCTGGCCGCGCGGCCCTTGCATGCGTTGACGGCGTCCAAGGCGTCAATCGTCCTAGAAAGGCGATGCGGCCTACACTGTGCACACGCCTCGCCTTGCCTCGCCGCGGCCCCGCGGTGTGCAGTCCTGCAGTCCGCGGGCAGTTTCCCCCAGATGAGTGGAGTAGAGGTGAAACTGTGAAACGCGAGCAGTTTCCAGGATGTCTCCGCCAGCCAGCGCCAGCCTGCCCGTTCCATGTCCGTCGCCGTGCCCCGGGGCTCTCCATGCGCGCCGTGCCCGCGACTCCGCGACACTTAGCACGCTATTTGAGTCCCCCGGCGCGGCTCCAGGTCCGTCCGTCCGTCTGTCCGACCGTCCGCGCGCCCGTCCCGACTCCAAGGAGGGCATGTCCGTCCGCCGTTTCGCGCATCGCGCACCCGACGGGCCTGAACTTTGGCAGGTACCGTCGTCACCCCTTCCGCGGGATTCCCGCCACCGCCCCGCCCCGCCACTGATTGACCTTTGGCTGCACTTTAGGGGGCCAGCTGACCCCGCGGCGCCTGTCGGTGACGTCACGCGGACACGCGGCGCGACGCGGCGCCAGTGTATCGCCTCTGGAATTCTGACCACGCGACGCGCAGCCCGACCCCGTGCAGCCCCGCGGTATGGCGGGCATTTTTCATGCCGAACGGCAGCGAGGCTTGCCTGCCGCGATCCCGCTTTCCAAAGGGGCACCCCCGCCCTTTTCCTGGAAAAACCAACTCGCTCGCTTTCCAAAAATGGATAAATTCCTCATCATAATACTTACGGCCGAGTTGATACAATTTTACGAGGGATTTCTCTCTTGCTCGGTGCGTTCTTTCTCGCGACTCATTCGCCCTGACGCCTAGCGCGCTTCCACCGGTCCCCCGACGTGTGACCTGAATGTTCAATGTCGAATTAATGGACCGCGGCGCCGAAACAATTACCAGTGTCGAACGATGTCGAACCGTCGTGCGCCGCGCTGCCGCGCTGTCGGCCGAGCCGAGGCGGTGCTCCGGGCCGTCTCTGGTTTCGAGATCCGTGAGCGACAGAGAGAGGCAGAGGCTTCGGCGTGTGTCAGCTCATGAGATATGAACGCCATAGGTAGCCGTAGGCCTGGCCCTGCTCCGCCGTCGCTCCGCCGTTCGCGGCTCCAGCATTCCCGGTCCACAAACGTCGCTCGACTTTCATGACAAGAAAAATGCTTGAACGGCTTGAACCGCCGAACTCGACTCATCACCGAGTGCCCCGCTGCCCCGGCATGGCGCCGTCCAGGTCCGGCATGGCCCCGGCCTGCCGGACTGGTTGGTTATCCGAGCCGCGGCCGCTACAAGTAGTGTGCAGGGACGGCGACGGGGCGCCGGGCCGCCAAACGCCACTCAGCACTCCGCTTGCTTTTGCGCCAACTGCCGCGGCTGCCTCGCCTTCCCCGCGCTGCGCTGGCCAGCATAGACCAGCTAGCCCGGGCAGACCTCGGGGGGCCTACACTTGTTTCCAGTGGCTTGGCAGCGCGCCACGCCAAATATGGCGACGGTTTTGGCGCCCACCTGGACGGGGACAGGACAGCCAACCTTCCAGTGCGGTCGCCAGTTCACCGGGCGTTTGTCGCTTGTTGTTGTTGTTGCTGTTGTTGTTTTCGGTGTACCGTAATACCTGGCGCCTGGCGGGACGCAGGCCGGCAACGTCACGCCGACTTTACCGGTCGTGATGCCGCTGATTGGTCCGATTACAGATACACTGATAGGCAGTGCAACGGCGCAGCGGCGTCGTTCGTCGGCGTGGGCGCGGCGTGGTGGCGTCGGCCGGGGCGCCCCTCCAGCTAGGCAAGCCTCGCGTTGTTGGCTGAGCAGCCACTTGTAGCTTGTAGCCACGCCCTCTCCACTCTGACGCGGTCTCACTCCCAAATCGCTTCCCCGATTCTGTTTCACTTGTCGACCCCCACCGCGTAGGGCCGCCGGGGCCGCAGGCCTGCAGGGCTCCAAGCCTCGGCCCTTGGCACGCCATTCCGGGTCCGTTCGTGTCGGCGGGCCTGGCGGGCCCCGAAGCGCAAAGCGAGGTGCACAGCGGCGCGCAGCGCGAAGCGTGCAACCTCGCGGGGCCCGCGCTGTGTACACACTCTGGGGTGCCGTGCTCGCGGCAGGGCGGGGGCGGCGGGGGCGGCGCCGAGTTTCCACTCGACCCTCGACTGGGCCGATCCCCGAGAGGACTGTTCTGACATTTGGCTGCCCACTTTGGCGGGGCATTAGTCCACACTGCGGTCCGCTTATGGCGACCGCGGCGAACTCGGAACACGCGCACCTCGGAACGGAACCGAACGGGTCCACTACCACCTGGAGGACAAGGACGCGACAGCACACTCACGTCGCTCTGTCTCTCTCGCACCTACACGCCGCGAGCCGTGAGTGCGAGAGAGACAGAGCGAGAGGTGCGGAAGGAGCCTGCAGGTCGCGGTTCGAACTTGGAAGGCCGCGGCCCGCCGCGCCGCTCGGCTCTCCGGCCGCCGGAACATGTTTGACCGCTAATGGTGAAAGCTTCGGCCGCCCCGCCCCGCCCCGCCCAGCCGCGCCGCGCCGCGCCTCGAGGTGACAAAGGGGGCGTAAAGATGGATGAAGAATAGGAAATAAACGGAAAACTAGTGGCCGACGGAACGATACCGACGGGGGGAGGGTCGGCGGCCGGGTGCACTTGATTGTGAGGACGGGCGTCCCGGGCCGGCCGGCGCGACGCCGCCCGGCGCGGCGACGTGTGGCCGCGTGTGGCAGTGGAAAGTTGAGTCGCCTGCCCGGTCCTCTCTCGGCGCGGCGCGGCGTGGCATGGCCACCGGCTTGAAAATCTCGCCCGTTATTGGAAATGGAAGTGAAAGTCAACTCCTATCCGACCAAGCAGTGTGGCGTCAGAGTGGGCTGGCCGTGGCAGGGCACGCCCCCTGGGTCGCGAAGGCCAGCGTCGCGGACCCCGGCCCGTCCTCGCCGTCCTCGCCGTCCTCGCCGGCCGTGGCGTGTGCCTGGTGTGCCGGCAGCGCAGGCAGCGCGGGCTGGCCTGAGCCTTTCCCTCCTCCACGTGCGAGAGTGTTTGCCGGGACCGGTGCCGCAGCGACGCCACCGCGGCGCCAGCCCCAAGGGCCGCTTGATTGCATTGTGTCGGGGGATGAGGCCTGGCCTGGCCTGGCCCCCCTGCGGCCACACTGGATTGATTCTCGTCAGTTTTGCCTGCAGTGGCCCTCCCCGCCCCGCCCAGGGCACTGCGGTCTGGGTCGAGGTCCGGTGTCCTTCCCGTGCCACGTCCTTCGTCCTTCCCGCGGTGCACCGGCAGCCCTACACAGCCCTACACCAATGGAAAGTGAAAGGGGAGGGGGGGGCAGCGGCAGGCGGCGGGGACGAGGGGCGGCTGCTGCGCGGCCGGCCAGCGACCCTGCGCGATCAATACCCACGCCTCGGCTCGGCCCGCGCCCGGAGCTGGCGGTGCTGGCGGTGCGGGCGGCTGGGTGTAGCCGCGTCGCCGTGTAGCCGGTGCGTGCGGCGGCGGGGCGGCAGGGCGGCTTGCGGTGCAGAGGGCGTCGCGGGCGGTGCTGCAGCCCAGGGGGCGCATTTGGCCGAAAATTATCCGAGACACCGAGAGACGATCCCGCGCCGCTTCGCAGCGAACGCTTGACATCCTTTGCATCGAGATCGGCAGCACTTCGAGGAGGAACTACAGCCGTCGAGCGGGGGGGTACTGCCGCACTTCCTCAGTAGTGGAGCCAGCGTCGGAAGCAATTCCGAACTCGCACTCCTACGCCACGCCCCATGAGGGCGACGGAGACAGCGCGACGAAAGGACGCTTCGGCACCACCCTGCAGGGCCCGGCGAGGTAAACAGGGAGCGGCGCCGCCCCTCGCCGCTCCTCGCCGCCCCTCGGCCCAGGCGGCAAGGCGGCAAGGCGGGGGCTGTCCGCAACAGGGAACGGGTAGCGGTGTAGCGGCGGCCGGCGGGTAGTGCCGATGGACCCCCGCCCCACCCGGCGGCCACCCCCTCCCCGGGAAGCATCCCTTGAATGGGACGCGGAAGTCAAGTGGTGGGGGCACCGGTCCGCCGCGCGAGTGGAGGGGGAGGGGGTCGGCACGGCTAAAGGCACGGCGGGGTAGCTACCCCCACCCCGTCTAGGTCTGGGTTGTTGGCCTGTCTGGGACATTGGCCCCCTCGCTAGCGCTGCCGGTGCCACTCGGGCCGCCTCGGGGTGCTACCCGGTGCTACCCGCTGCTACCCGGCTACCCTCTGCCTCCACGCCACTCGACGTCGAGGGCGCCCTGGCGGCCGCTGGTACCACTGGTACCGCGGGGCTCCAAGTACCCACTCGCCATCCGCCGATGGAAAAACTTTCCCGGTGCAAATCTCTGGCACGCGCAGTGAATCTGAATCCGAATATGGTCGGAGCGGCGCCACTGCCGAGCGATTCCGAAAGGTCCTGTCGTCGCCTGTCTCTCTCACACTCCTGCGGGGCGCCTCACGAGAGCGGCAGAGACGATCTCGCTCGGCTGGGGCTGGGGGACGGAGGCGCGGGCAGCTGGGGCGATGGCACTTACACTCTCGCGTTGTACCTCCGCGCTGCCGAGCTCGGGCGGGAGAGGCGGGGCAGGGCGGGGCAGGGCGAGCCGGGGCGTGATCACGACAGACACTGCCTGCCGACGCTTTTTACCCCGGGCCTCCTTTGTCTCCGCGTTCGATCTTGTCAAACAATCTAATTCGAGTTGTTGACCCCCCAGCCCCGGCCGAGCCGCGGCGAGCCGAGCCAGGTCCAGAGCGGCAGACTGAGGCGGCCCGGCCCGGCCCGGCCGCCTTTGCTGGCTTTGGGGCTTCGCGCCTCGGCAGCAGGTCCCGTTGAGCCCCACCGCCTCATGGAACATAGAACCGCCATCTCACCATTTGGGAGGCGCCTCGCTTTTAGTTTGCATTCCTGGCGCCTGTTTATTGTTTTTTTTCGCCCCATAGCTCTCCGCGCGGTCGCCGCTTGGTCGTCCAGGCCATGGCCCTGGCCCGGCCGGCCGGGTCTCGGAGGTCTCGGAGTCTATTACGCTTTTGAAGAAATAAGCGGCCGCGTTCTCGGAGGAAGCGCGAAAGCTCTGTCTCTCTCACACTCATGGGGCGTGGCGGTGCGAGAGAGACGCGCGATACCGGCACTGCCTACGCTGCGCTACGCTGCCTGCGCTGCCTGCACTGCCTGCACCGCCTCGCCAGGAAGGTTAAGGCCGCCCAACCTGTTTTAGTGGGTCGGCGCGCCACAATGGCACGCCCTGCTCGCTCCGTCTCCCTCGCACTCACGGGGCGTCCCGTGTGGGTGCGAGAGAGACAGAGAAACGCTGTCCAGCCCGCAGGGCCCCACGATCGCGAAGGCTGGCCGCGCTAAGGCCGGGGCCGAATCCCGAAGCTCGAACCGAGCCAATAACTAGGTCACAGGGCCTCCAGCCTGGACAGCGAGAAAGCGTATCCACATGTCAGCGGCGCGCCGTCCGTCAAAGCCGGCCCAGGCGGACAGGACGGGACGGGACGCGACGCGACGAGACGGCCCTCGCTGCGGTGGATGCGGCGCGGTGGCGCGGTTGCTCGCTCTCGGAATGTCACTGCTGGGGAAAACTGGCCTATGGGACTGCCGTTGCCGCACGGCCGGACTCGAACCCGGAGTCGGACATCCCGCCGCCGCATTGCCGGCACTCCTTCGCACGCCGCTAGAAGTAAAACGCGTCGCGTTCAATTCATTTCCCGGGGCGCACTCTCATTTCGATCGGCATGCCGAGTAAACAGTGTGTAGTGTGGGCGCCTGGCAGGCAGACTGTCCCGCTGACAGGGCTGCGCCTGCACTGCCTACCCGCCAGGCGCTTTGGTAGGAAGCACAGTCCCACTGTCTCTAAGTAATTTCTAACGCAACTCTGCATGTTTGTTCCAGAAGACGTGGGCGAGAGCTCCCGCCAGAAGCGGGGCTTCTTCAAGGGGCTGTGGAAACGGTCGCGGGGCTACTCGCTGGACCACCAGTAGCCGTCGTGCTGCGGGTGCAGGCGCAACCGTCGCAGGGCCTCCTCGACCCAGTGAGCGGCGAGTTCAAGACCCGCGCCTGTGCCCGCCGCCTCCGACTCGACTCCGACCCCCGGACAAGCCGGCCGTGGCTGCGGCAGTGGACGTCCGCGCCACCGCGCCGCCACGCTGCCGCCCTGGATCCCTGGACGCCCTGGACCCCTCGGGCGGCTGGCCGCGCAGGCCCAACACTTGTGGCGAAAGCAGAGAGCCCCAGACAATCGAAACGCGTCGACATTTTCAAAGACTGCGACACCCAAGTTCGAATATCAATCAACGTACATCCTGCTCAGCTTAACCAGACTGCCCATCTGCATACTGTTTGCACAACACTTGTACTTTTCTGTTTTTGTTTCCCTACGAATCGGTGTAAAAAGAAAAATTGTAACTTATTCCTTCGTAACACAATTATCAACAATTAATCACTTTGGTTAAGGTCACATACAGCGACTGTGCGCAGTCTTATTACTACTACAGTAGTCCTAACTTAGATTAGCCACTGTGTGCGGACATTGTAGTGGGCAGGGACCCTCAGGGACCCTCAGGGACGAGTTCGGGTTCCTTCCGGACGCAAGCGCCCCCCCCCCTCTTTCTTTTCATTTCGATTTGCGAGGCGAGAGGCCCTGTTCTCTGCGCCCAAGCCGCTTGTGCCCCAATGGTCGGAGTCGCGAGGACGGTTTTAACGAGTCGGAGGCGCAGGTGTCGTCAGGACACCTGCAGGAGCCATTGTGTGAATGCTTATGTGATTGTACGCCACCCAGAAGCGGCTACAGAGTAAAACGTTGAGCGGAACGCATTTTGTACCATATTGTACCATAACAATTTGCCATAATTTTAATTGTAGTTATGAACTACTAAAGCTGTTGTCCTTTTCTCTTCTCTGATTTCTGTACCGCAACACAATATCGGTAGGACGTTGTCTAAATTCACTCCCCCGAACGCACTGCCTCGAAACTATTTCGACTCCCCTAAATGTTATTAAAGACAGTGTTAGAGGTTTCTGTTTGTAAAAAAAAATTGTGGTGGGTGTGTTAGATCAAGCAATGATAAACCCGAACTTTAACTGCTTGTACCTGCATTGTTAGCCATTTAGATTATCTATTACCGTTGTACCCACGTTGAAAAGTACACTTCACAATGTGTCACAGCTGTACATGCTTCTAGGAAAACAAATTCACCGAGTTCTCAGAGAACCCAAACTTACGTTCCACGTACCGATAGTCAGTCGTGCCATTATAATTTTTTTTAAAATTTTTCCCCCATTCCTAGTCCCGCTGCCGGGCAGGGATTGGCCGGGGCGTCAGTCCCCCCCCCCTTTCCCACGTGGGGCAGGTCGGAGCCTTCCGCAAGCCTTCCGCGACGAAGGCTGAGTGGGTGCTTGCCACCAACCACTTGACAAATTATAGGATTCCCAAGATTGTCTGTGTTCGTTCCTCTTGGCCTTCCATCACTTCTAGGTACGTTTCTATTCCTCGTTCAATAGGTACTCCCTTTCCCCGTTCCCTAGATTAGAACTCTTTGTAATAGCTCTTGCATATGTGACAGCTGTGAAAGTTTCTCTGTAAATAAACAATTGCTAAACAAGTATGAGTGAGTGTGTTGGCTGTGTTTGTCCCCTCTCCCCCACGCCGGATTACGAAGCTCTAGTGCTACGAAGGGTGGCAGCCCGACGCAAGATACAAGTGTGACGGAGTTCGCCACCTGCTCGGCAGTTCTTGATTCTGGGGTCCCGCTGAAGCCGATGAAGAGAACAATGGCGCCATTGTTGCACCGCGCCGGGAAGGTAGACCACCCTTTTGGCACGTTACATGGAAGACGTTCATGTTGTCACGCCAAAGGAGTCGAGCCCAGGACTACACTGGGCGGCTGCCCTGCTCCTCTGCGCTCCGAGCCACCGATCAGCCTCGCTGTGGGTCTGTCCAGAGAGGACGTCCTCTCTGGGTCTGTCTCGGCTGGTCTACTTTTTAATCTGACGTCACTCCCAGGGTCGTTTCGTAACAGCTGCTGGAGGCAGATCATCACACCAATTTCCAGAAGCCAATCCGGGCCATCGGTGGGTGCACGCCCGCCACAGCTCCCGCATCCCCCCCCCCCCTCTCTTTTCCCCCCTTAATCAGCTTCGGCCAAAATCGACTCTGCCAACGAGCTTTTCGCCGGAAATTTCAAAACGCCTTACGGCCCTTAAGATTGATGGTGTTGAATTAGTAAGTTCTAAGCGTCCCACAGCGTGTTTAATTTTGTCGCCGGTAGCAACCCGGAGTGTCAATGATCGAGTAGAGCGTTCAGTTATTAAAATAATTGCTAGTTCTTGTTTTAGTATTCACTTTGTTTACTTATTAAATCATAAGGTACACCAGGTACCACACAGCACATACAGCAGAACATTCAGCATTTGTATTAAAACTCGAACACCTCAGGTAAAACCAAGTACAACACATGTTTAAAATTGTTTTCTCTTTTTATTATTCAGAGCCCGATGGGAATAATTACAATTTTAAGAAATACTTCATCTCATGTTCGGCAGTCATTAAAAGTAGTACAAAATGTATAAACCCAGTTGCAGGGCAAGAGCGTTTACTGGCACAAACAAGTGTGCACTGAATGAAGAATGCCAGTACACTGCGGAAAAAACCATTTGTCAACCCCTTCCCTTACATCATGCTCGCTGTTCAAAGTAAACAGCCACACAATCTTAACTTTATACAGATCTATTTCATTTAATCCCCCCCTGCCCCCAAAACAAAAAGAAAAATAAAAAAAATATGTCTTTCAAAAGTTTTCGCTATATCAATATCAATCGTAGCAATCATAATGGAAAAATGGGTCTGGATTCATTTCCTATACAGGGTAATGACATAGCACTAACATATGAGCGATTGTTTCACATATAATGTTAAAGCTAGCTGGGAAGAGCCACACACAGCAAACTGTTCTTGTACCAACTGAGGCCAAGGCTAATCACAATGAAAACTGTAAAAAACGATCTTTTTTACAACTAATCCAATACACAAATCAAGCACAATTTTGATTCCTTTGACATAGAAACCCCTTCAATAAACAGCGATTTCATTTTAGATTGTTTTAAATATGAGGGGTGAAGGAAAGAGCAGGACTAGAGTTTGAAATTATTCAAAATTAGGAAGGCCTTTACATCAAATGCAGAGGGTAGGTATTACAACTCTCACACCAAATCAATTAATGGCTTGGTTGAATTAATACAGATTGGGGTGGGGATGGATTGCACTACACCAAAGCAACTTGAAGGTAGTCAACCATACACAATTACTCAAATGTCCACTCACCCTTAATTCAAAATGACACAAAAAAAATCTTTAACAAAGAGGAAAATATGTACTGAAAGTATTAAAAATGCATTGTATCCTTAAGTTGACATGGAACCTATACAAGAAGGTCCAAACTGAACTGGCCAGTTATCTTCCTCATTCCCTCCCAAGTCCTGCTCATGCCACCGCAGGAGAACAGCCTTTGTTTTTTTGTTTTTAAAAAAGTCCTGAAACGAAAAATAACAACTCATCAGAAAAAGAATTTTTTAGAGGAAACTAACAAATTCACATATGGCAGAATGGCCTACCTCTACAGTCCACAAGACACTAAGTAGTCTCCTAGCTTTTCCACTACAGATGCTGCCTGCTGGGGCTGAATTGGATCTTCATATAGGGAGACGACAACAGCTGTAATAAGAGACGAATTGTTATACTACTGGCTCCTGATACTGATGTTTAGATGAAGGCAAAAGTAGTGATGGAATGGCTTTTACCTTGGTGTGTCTTCATGCAGTGAACGCCAACCTTGGCAAGCTTCGCCCGTATGACTCTGTCGGTGCCAGAAAGGTAGATGTAACGGTTTCCAGCGAGTGTCACACCTGATGATGTCAGAAGGTCCTGCTTGTCAAAGCCTTGGACCAGCTTTGCAAGCTCCTCCTTTGAAACCTGCGAAGGAAAACATGCGGGTAACATAAAAATTAAGGGACCTCAACAACAGAAAAGAGACCATTAAACCAAATGGTCTACACTCATTCAGAGACAAGCATGATAACAATTCACCATTTCAATTGCATCAATTTAAAAAAAAACATGTAAAGTAACACTAGTCAATGAACCCAGCATGTTTTGACAGCTAACCTAACAATTCAGAATTGAATCAGAATATGAAAATAACGAACTGACAAAGAAAAAGCCTGACATAAAATGTGCCAGTCGTAACAGACAGAGCAAAATGGGCCAAAGCCCCAAAAATTCCGGCCAAAAAAAAAATTGGAAAAGATTTGACAGTGACAGTTGCCGACGTGACCACTCCTCCAAAAAAACATATCTCAGATCGTTCCAACCAGTAAGAAATGGGCCGAACGTGAGCCAAGCCCGCTTCACCTTAAAACTGAGCAAACAAAGAAAGTACATCGTGCACGGGGGCGGACCCGGCAGCGGGGTGCTAGGTACCCGACGAGGAAAAAGACCTTGAGCGAGCCTCACGCAATCCCATTGCTTGACTGAGTAATCTGCTGGGCCGGTCCATCAAACAGAGGGGCGGCAATGTTGCACGCCACACCGCGGCCTGCCTGCGCCCTGCGCCTCCCCGTCGCGCCTCCAGCCCTCCAGCCTCAGCATTTCGGCTGCCCGTCCCGTCGTCCCGTCCCGTTCAGCTGACTTGGTGACCACAGCCGCAAGCCGGACCGAGACCGCGATGGGAGATCGCGCCGGCTCTTTTCGGCCACAGAATCCGTCTCCCTCGACATGGCCGCGATCCAGAGTCTTGAAATCCACTCGCAGAGCCCACAGGGGCTGGAAGCACAGACTCCAGCAGAGTGACTGGACACACACGTCGCCTCGCTGCGCCTTGGCTGCGCTGCGCCTCGCCGTCCGATCCGAATGGACTTGAATGGAGGACCGGACGGACCGGACCGGGCCAACCCGGCATTCCAGCCGCAAGCCGCGCACGCCCTATTTGCTCCATTCCCGGCCAGACCGCACTTTCCAACCAAATTTTACAGTTTGAGGGAACGGAAATCACCACGGCATACGCCTCACTTCACCATCTAGCACAAAATTACTCGTTTCGTTCACACTTGGTCGAAGCCTTCGGGCGGGTGAGCCCCGGTGAAACGCTGTCCAGGCTTTACAACAGGACCTTGCTTCACCAAATCCGAAGCCTACTTACGTCGAATCCTTCTGATCTTGCCCACACGTTTCCATCGTGGCCGGCAATAGCGGCTTTTGTAACACACCGCGAAGCTAACAACTGCTTGTCAACGTAATCCTGCCAGCTCATTTTGATACAAATCACGAAACCTAGGACCGAGTGTTGCCACAAGTTCGCGACGCAGACTTCGTCTGACTACTGGTTTCAGAAGGGAAATAGTGCCCACGACGGTGGGACTCTCTGTGTATCCTTCCGCAGTTACTATGCTCCGACCCGATCCCTCACATCGCCGAGGTCGCCTTTGCTCTATCAGCCGAAAAATCCCAAATAAAGCAAAATATTTAATTTCTGAAATTTGAGAAAAAAGGTGTTGATGATTCAACCATAAATTAGACATTACTTTGAAAAACGGATATTCATCCGCGACATTGTCTTTAATAGTACAAAAAGTGGCCGACAGGAGGCGCTGCTCCCTATGTTCCTCTTTAATTCTTTTTCTCGCGAATGGCTGTAGCATTCCTCAGAGACTTTGACGTAAGCTGGACATTTAACCCATGATTTTACGTGTATCTGTGTTCGTCGCTGCTCTAATACTTCTTCTGGAGTATTTGTAGCGGATTAAAATGAAGAAACCTCAAAGTCCAGCCCGATCAGTATCCTTCACGGAACTCTGTTCTGCATTTCTTTTGCCGCGTTTCTGCCCTTGGTTCTTCCCTTGGACAAGTTTCACAAAATTCCTTGCTGTAAGTGTACTAAACCCGCCCCCCTGGCAATGTTATGAGGGCGCTAACATGAGCAACCTTTTGTGTTTTCAGTGAAGTGAGAAAGGATGTAAAAATTAACATACTCCAATGCCTGTTAAAAGACACTCAACGGTGCCATCCTTGCAGCAAAAAACAAACTGCATAATAAGGGGATCCATTTCAATTTTGGAAGAAAACGACAACTTATGAAGTGCGCAATTTATTAATAAAAACAATTTACAGACTCTCCTAGAAAGGTACGAAAATTTCTATAAATGGGGTATGCATACATGATTAATTCATTTCATTAAATGATACTTGGCCCCTAATCAGAAAATAAGGAATGGAACTAGTATTTTGAATGCTGCTAAGGATCTTGTAATGCTAATTAATGATACCTCTACAACACATTGAAGTATGAAACAGAACGCTTAAATTAGTAACAAAAAGAATTCCACAAAAGGAACAGACATGGGAGTAAGTACATACCACAGCCAGAGTTCAGACAAAACACTAGTGACTCCAATGTCCAATTTGGCAATTTATTAGTAAAACGGTCTACCCATACAGATCAATTCAGAAATGTATATCAAATATAAAACCAAAAGTTTCAAAAAATACAAGATCATAAAAAATAAACAAATAAAATTTTAAAGATTCAAAAAGGGAAACAGAACAGGGCATTTACTCAATAAATTATGTTTAAAAATTAGTGACAAGGGGCAAGCAGGTAGTGCTCAGGATGTATCGCCTCAAATAAAACCACTGTTTGGTGAACTTCATCGTTGAAATTTTGATCTTTATTTCCAAAAAATTCTTCCCCCACAGGTGGACTGATGAAATATGCCTGAAAATACAGAAAATTCGTAATGAGGGTCAGCATCGATACAGTGCAGGACAATGTGGAGCTAATATAAAACAAGAGGTGAGTACATTTTCTTTTATTAAGCTACACAACAGCATACAAAAAAACAGCACTAGTTTTCACAGTTTCGTCTCCTGCATCTTTTTAGATTTATATAACCCTTCCAAATTCCTACAACAGAAGGACTTATACAACAGAATGTCTGAGAGGGTAAGCATGATAACAAGCTACTCCTCATTACACAAAAATTCTGATGAAATTCAGAGTAGGGCTGCTTTGGTAAATCAATGTCACACTGACAGAAAGCAAATAGAGACACATGATAGAAATTTGTCAAGGGATAATACACACAACTTATAAAGAACACACCCAGTTTAGAAAAAATACTTAAAATTACTGGTTTGAACTGCATTTTGACAAATTGCTTTGGAGAAAACTTCACGTTCTCAACCCAAAGGGTCAGAAGATATAAGCCACAAGGAAACTCCAAAGAATGGAAATGATTTTCACACTACTTTATAATACCATAAAATATACAATTAAACTAACAATTACTGTGAAGACACGTACACGCAACACGACCAATACCAAATGCAAGTCCAAGGGACTATGCTGTTATACTGAGGGAAAAAGAAGGGCAGGTGTGCCAATGCACAAACCTGCCCAAATGTTAGGAATCACTCCACACTGCGCCACTTGATCGATGCAAGTAAAGCACTATCACTGCGTACCACGAGGAGAGCGCTCAGTGAACAAACCGACATAACTCGGAAAAATCGCACGTCACATAAATCGCAAATCGTCCAGGGGCCCTGTGAGGCACGCATTCGAACACCGGTCGCACACGAGCTCAGAACTCAGGTAACACAGATAGGCACTAACCACTTAGATCAGGTCGGCGACATTCATCGGCATTTCAACAATGCTGGTGTTGTAGAACTGCTCAATGTCCTTGAGAGTACGCTTATCATCCTCTGTCACAAAGTTAATTGCCACACCCTTACGACCGAATCGGCCACCACGACCAATCCTGCAAGAGACAACACTCAGTTAACAAAGGCTCCCAAAGCAGAAAGAGCAAAAAATTATTTGGAAACCAGCTATGGACACCATACCTGTGGATGTAGTTCTCCCGGTTGGAGGGCAGATCATAGTTAATAACTAGGGAAACCTGCTGGACATCAATACCACGAGCCAGGAGGTCAGTGGTGATAAGCACACGGCTAGAGCCTGTGCGGAACTGACGCATAATAACATCACGCTCACGTTGCTCCATGTCACCATGCTGAAATGACATCATATTTGTTAACACAGCTGAACACAAAAGTATCAAAATTTCTGCACAAATGGGATGGCCGAAGTTCTTACCATGGCAGAAACAGTGAAGTCACGCTTGTGCATGTTCTCAGTCAGCCAATCGACCTTACGCCGGGTGTTGCAGAAGATGACAGCCTGAGTGATGCTGAGTGTGTCGTACAGATCACACAGGGTATCCATCTTCCAATCTTCTTTCTCCACATTGATGAAGAACTGTTTGATACCTAGAGAAAAACATTCAATTAAGAGAGGGAGCCACAGAATCCAAGTAAATGTGTTAGCTTACACAATCTGGCTTTTAGAAATGGTAAGAAACCATAAATTATAGTACAGAAAGGCTCAAGTGAAAAGTAACACACCTTCAAGGGTAAGTTCCTCCTTTTTCACAAGGATACGGATAGGTTTCCTCATGAAGCATGAGGTAACTTCCAGCACATCTGATGGCATGGTAGCAGACAACAGGATCACCTGGACCTCAGTGTTCAATGTTCTAAACACATCGTGGATTTGATCTTTGAATCCTCTGGAAAGCATTTCATCAGCCTCATCCAAAACAAAGATTTTGATGCTGCTTGTCCCTGTAAGATAAACACTAGAGGTTAATAATGTAAACAAATGATGGGATTAAAAAGGAAGAGGCAGGATAACTTACTCAGAGCCCTGCGGTTGATCATGTCAAAGACACGGCCAGGGGTGCCCACGACAACATGAACTCCCATCTCCAACTTGCGCATATCCTCGCGCACATTGGTTCCACCAATGCAAGCATGACACTGAGCATTCATGAAGTCACCAAGGGCGATGACTACCTTCTGGATCTGTTGAGCCAACTCACGAGTGGGAGCCAGGATCAGAGCCTGGCACTCACGGATGGAGGTGTCAATTTGCTGCAGGATGGAAATGGAGAATGTGGCAGTCTTACCAGTACCTGAAGGACAATGGATAGAGATGCAAAGTTAGGTACAATCATGAACATAGAAATTCCAAATCAGACATTTTAACTGCTTACCAGACTGAGCCTGGGCAATGACATCGTGTTTCTTCACACATGGCATGATAGCACGCTGCTGGATAGCAGACGGCTTTTCAAAACCATAGGCATAGATACCACGGAGCAGGGGCTCCTTCAGGTCCATGGCATCAAAACTGTCGACCACCTGTAAGAAAGCATCACAACATGAATACCCTCCAAGAAATAAAATGACTAGAATTTTGGTGTTGTTGTTTGGACAACCAAGACAACAAAAAACAAAACATACCTCATCCCAGTTGGATTCAATGATGCCATCAGGGTCCATGCCTGGAGGTCCATTGTATTCGCTAACTTCTTCAGTGGGGCCATTTCTCTTGCCTTCCTGATCAGCAGGCCAATCTTCTCTGTAATCACAACAAAGGCAAATTAGACCACACAATCAGCAGAACCAGAAGTGTCCCTGACAAATGCCTCTTCAAAATCGCATTAAATGGAAAATCGTCTGTCGGCAGTTCGGCCGCTTTGACATAACCTTTAACTACACTCGCGCTACTCGCCGATACTGGACCGGTAACAACCAGACGGTGTGGGTAAAGCCAAGCGAAAAGACACCATTTAAAGACGGAAACAGGGAACTTGAAAACAAATAGCGCAAATCAGGAATTGCATAATTTCCTGCAATTTGATCTAGGGTTGAGCACATTTCGCGATGACAAATCCTCGAGTTGTTGCGAAAGCGGCAACGAAGTTGGAGGTAAAGATGTCCCACTATGGAACCGAAAGGGCGCTATGAGACGAATTTATAACTTGCCGCACAAACTGGACGGGCCGGCGGCATACCTCATGATAAACTGTGTGAAAACCAAGCAAGCTCTTGAGTGAGAAGGTACGGTAGGCTTACGCCATGTTGGCAGTGACCGTGCTTTTCCAGGTTGGCAAATAACTCAAAAACGTCAGTATACCTATTCATTTGGCTTCAGGAAAATATACACCACGGTAGAACGAACTTTGAAGGTTGCAATGGAACACAAGGATGCAAGCTTGGAAACGCAATTCCACATTTAAATAAATCTTACCTTCTTTCATACGAGTTCGACATGTTCCACTCACGGTCAGTTCGACGGAAAGGATGAAATTTTACGGCATTTGCGTCATCAAAAGTATTCCTCCGCGGTCTTCACGGTCACACGAACATGCGAATCTGATAGTACAGTGTCCTGATGCGTTAGGACGGTCAAAAAATGGCAGATAATTAATGAACGGAATAACAACCAATAAAAATTGCACTTTACTGCCATAAATTGAATACAAAAGTCAAGGAAGGAACTACTTTGGCGCAAGCACACTCCTTCTTGGCGTGCACTGCGACAGGAAGCTCTGCAGCGAGCCGGAAGCAGCGTGCTCCTCACACCGCACCAAACGTGAAATGGGCTGTACGTCTCGTTAGACGAAACATGTACCTCTCAACGAGTAGTAAAAAATGCATCATTTTATTCGTGACAGCTACCCTGTCCCGAAAACGAGGCTTTGTTTCATTTTTCAGAGAGCACGTGGGCAGTGCCACGGTCCCCTTGATCCCTTCCTCGGGGAGCCAGGGGCGGATCCAGTTCCGGTCCGGCAGACAGCAGGGGTTTTAACTTGGGCTTTTACTTATTTCAATGTGCCGTGAGAAAAGATTAAAATTTGTGCTCCAAAGAGTTGGTGAGAAATGTATGCAGTTTACCTCAGGATGCTCATGATTTCATAGAGCTGTCTGTGATGCAACTATTTACTGATAGGGCTGATAAGTGAATTCATGTTGAGGTGACATCTGACCCTTACAGCTACTATCTGATAACTCTTACAGAGCATATTTTGATATCAAACTTGTACTATCGAGTTGACATTCACAAGGGGAATAAATGCCACAAAAAACGATTATACAATCATAACATTAACTTTATGCTGAAGTGTCTCATCATTATAATCAGCAAAATCCCCCTTATTTCATTGAGTTGCTTAAGTGTTCAGTGTGTAAGTGGAATGCTTCATGCTGAGGAAAGCAAGAACTTGATAAACAAAGAACAGTGACAAAATAAAAACAGATAGAAGAATTCATGATTTGAATAATTTATTACAACTATTGGAGTTACAGAGAATGTACAATAATCACTTAGATCGCTGGGAACATAATCATCCTGAGTTTTGCACATCAGCATTATTTGGTGGCATCAGCTGTGGATGAGGATGATGTTGCATAGCATTCATGTTAGGCCCCATGCCCATGCCAATTGCTAGATTTGGAGCTCGTACAGCACATTCTGATATTTGAGTGCTCTTGAGATTGTCCAGTTCGTTGATACGACTGCGGACATGCTCAAGTCTGTGCCATGCCATTTGAAGCACTTTTTGCGATGCATATCCAGACCCTTCATGAGGTTGACCTAGAATCAAGGCAATTAAAAATTAAGTAATTTATAGTAGAGTACAAAAGTTGATTTAATTGTTTAATTTTAATTTTTTTTTAACCTGTTGAAACTTGGGTGAGATAATTTATCTGAGTATGCAGTCTCGATTCAACTGAACTCAGAGTTTTGAGAAATTGATTGGTCTGAATCTCGGCTTGTTTAACATTGGACTTGTCCTTACTTAATTCCTGCAGAGCTTGCCCTGTAACATAATAATTAGAGGAAATAATGAACCGCAAAACAGGTAGCTAACCTAGCAACCAATACAATAACATCGAAAATTCCCAAAATTTGAGATTGGAAAAGTCTTCTGAATATTAAAAGCAGTGGAAATATTTAAAGCAATGAGATGAAAATAATCTAATTGAATTATTATTGTTACCTGCACTTTGAATGCACGTAATGACATCTTTTTCAATGGAATCCAACTCCTGAATCTTTTCCCAGTGTGCAGTCATGTTAATCTTTTCTTTACGAGATTAATAGGGCGAAACTTGAGCAACTTCAATCATACGCCACTCATCTGTGTTACAAAATCACTAAACCCGGAAAAATAAAATTTTCTGCACTGTTCTGACTGTTGTGTCAACACAAACACAGCCACCTCTAGCAGACGCCACGAACTGTCATGGAGTTTTCTTCTTCTTCTTTTTCCCTTTGGTTCTTCTAAACTTCTATTTTTGGCGAAAATACTATGCTATGCTATCTCATGATTTCTTGAAAGATTGTTCTCTTCATGCAGCTTCCGTTCAAGCAACACGCACAAAGCCAGCATTAAAGCGAAACTTTTAAAATAATTTTGTTTAGATACTCTGGCTGCATGATTCAAAACTCACTGCCAAACACTTGTGGCGTTTTTGGCGCGCTTCGAAAATTTGCCGACTACGCAAGGAGGTTGTTGTGTCAGCTCCGTTGGAAACCGATAGCTTTGCATTGTGTTACTTCTGCTCTTTGCTTGTCAGCATAAACTGTGTTGACTCGAACTACACGTCTCTCTCTCCATCTTTTTATTCCCTGTGCCTTCTAGCCACTGTGGCTCAAGTTTTCTGGCAGCAGTATTACCCATTCTGTTGTAAGTTTCTGCTCGACTTTGTCCCTTTAAATTTTTTCACCCTATTGTCAAAAGTTGTATTCATTTCCTACTGCATCTATTTACGACAAATTATTTGTTCCTTCCTGGTCGATCGTCTTCATTGAAGGCAACATTATGCTTTTTAGAAATATTTTCTTCATAATCTGTATTAGTTTTGTGGTTCTGTGTCTGTTGGTTATGTTATAAACAATTAATGAACTGTTACTTTACAGTTTTCTCTTAATATACTGTTATCACTATTTTTTAGATCATGGCACCTATCCAAACGGTTCTGAACTATTATTCTGAACGAAAAACTGCTTCTGATACCCGTGTGACACGATCGAAAAAGCTGGTTGATAAAAGTTCTCAAGATGCGTCAAAACCAGAACATGTATTTATTCAACCACAAGATACTCCATCTCAAACAAGAAGTAAAAGCAAAACAAGTATGTAATGTTTTCTTATAAATTACCTTTATGTCAGTATTGCTGTACACTTTAATTGATTCTCTTTCTTTCAGAGGTGGATTTGACTCCTCAAAAGAAGACTCCCTCAAAGCCTAGAAGTAGAAGAAACACATGTATGTTCAGTCCTTTGCTAAGATTTTCAGTATATCTAAGTGATATGTTGTTATTAACCACATTTACTCTTATCTTGTTTTCTACCTCACAGGCAAGAGTACCAATGGTGAGGATGATTCTGAAACAGAAAGTGGTCTTGCCTCTGACTTGGTTCTGGATGACCCAAATAGTGATGACTTTTTGGATGCTCCTCTCACAACTCCTAACAAACGGAGGACTAAAAGTATGAAAGGTATGGTCATACTTTCATGTTGAAGTTGTCTCTGTGAGAGTTCTTGTTTTCTCGCATGAAAAATATCATTTTGAATTTTATCTCAACAGAACCCTGCTCACCACCTAAAATTAAGTGTACAGATGCGGACAATTGGCTCTCCAACCCAGCAATAACAGCTGGAACTCCATCTTCTATGCTAAAAACTCTGACTCTTAACTCCCCACCTGCTCTTGAGAAGACAAGTCAAACTTCTTTTGCACCCAAGTCATTGTTTTCTGAGCCAGACGACCTTCTTGGGCGAGCTCGTATTGCTCTGCACACACACTCTAAGACGAGCTTACCAGGAAGAGAACAAGAATTGGCCCAACTTAATGATTTCATTCAAAACCATCTTGAGACAAAGACTTCTGGATCACTTTATATTTCTGGACCACCAGGAACAGGGAAAACTGCCTGCCTTTCTCAAGTGTTGGAGAAACCTGAATTGAAACGTCATTTCAAAGTGGTCAACATTAATTGCACATCTATTGAATCTCCTAAGGCAGTTTATTCTCGTATAGTGTCTCAGCTTGGGATACAAGTGAGAACGAAATCTGGAAAAGCATACCAGGAGGCTATTGAAAATTACTTACTCTCAGGTCACAAGATGATGTAAGTTGTTTTAAATGACACTGTCAATTCAAGATGCACCAATTGATATTTAATTATGTTGTAATTTATTACAGACTTATGGTATTGGATGAGATGGATCAACTTGATACCCGCAGTAGATCTGTGTTATATACCATATTTGAATGGCCTCTAAGTTACCCTAATGGAATCATATTGATTGGGATAGCCAATGCTCTAGATCTTACAGATCGCCTACTGCCCCGTCTGAAAGCAAAACTTCAGTTGGCTCCTCAGCTGCTTCATTTTGCTCCATACACCAAGCAGCAGCTCATGAATATTTTTAATACACGATTAAATGAGGTTTGTTAATATTCAACTTATGTTTTACCCTTTGTCCTGATATATTTTTTATTTTGTTTTTTCTGTTAAGGCTAATGCTTCCGAGGTGTTCGCTCCTGCTGCTATACAACTTTTGGCAAGCAAGTTGTCAGCTGTGAATGGAGATGCTAGACGTGCTCTTGACACAGCAAGAAGAACTGTAGAGAATGAATCTCAAAAGATGTTTGAGTCCAAATTAGTCAGTGCCAACTGTCAAAGCCCTACAAAATCTATCTCAAACCTGCAGAAAAGCTCAGGTAAGTAGGTTTTCTGAATATATGCAAACAGAATGATTTCGTTATTATTTAATATTAATGTGGAACCTTATTTCCTTTCAGAAACTAGTCACCTCCGCAAATCTCCAAGGAAAGCTCTTCATAGTCAGGAAATTGACAAGCAGGATCGTAACACTGTACTTGATCGAATGAGGTCACCTCTCAGATCAACTTTCAATACTTTGAAGTCGCCCCTCAAATCACCCCTGAAGTCACCTCTCAAATCGCCCCTGAAATCGCCCCTCAAGTCACCTCTTAAATCGCCCCTCAGACTTCTCATGAAGTCCCCTCTCAAATCACCCTTGAAGTCCCCCTTCAAGTCTCCTACTCATCTCAACTCGCCACGGAAGGAAAATTTTTCACCTCTGAAACCAAAATCTGCTAAAAAGTCTCTTTTCACTGATTCTGACACTGACTCAAAACCTCTGGCAGCCCCCTCCAATGTTGCTTCTCAAGTTAATAAACCTTGTATTAACATTGCTAACATAATGAGTGTTGTTAATGATGTCTATGGATCATCACAAGGGCTTGGGAAAGCATCAGATGGAGGAGAGGAACTCCCACTTCATCAGAAGTTTGCAATATGTTCCTTGCTCCTTATTCTTCGTGAAGGAAAAAGCAAAGATGTAACAGTCGGCAAGGTGAGTTTTTTAAACAATGAAGTTTTATCATAATTTTCTTGAAGGATGAAGTATTACTCCCTTAATCCATTTTTTCTCCTTACCAGCTTCATGATGTCTATAGAAGAGTGTGCATTAAGCGCCACATGGATCCATTGGATTCTGGATCGTTTTTAAGCATGTTAGGCTTGATTGAAGCGCGAGGAATTTTACTTTTACCTGGGAGGGGTAAAAAAAGTCGTCTTACAAAGGTAAGTGAACTAGGTTTATGAACTCATGTAGTTTCACCTGTGTTCCCCATGTTCCAAGCATTGTTTATCTCACCACTTGTTTCAGGTCTGTATGCAGTGGATTGAAGATGAAGTGGTTGCTGCTCTGAAAGACCGAGATATGTTAGCTACAATTTTAAGAGATAGATCTTGTCTGTCATAGATACTAATTAAGCTGTTGCTGTATGGGTTTTTCTTGTTTCTTTGACTTGACATTCCAATTAACTGAGGCTTTTCAGGCATAAAGGGATCAATGTTCTTGTAAGCAAATTAATTTATGAAGTTTTGCCTATGACCATGAGTTCCGATTTTGTGATAGAGTAGTACCCAATGGACCTGACTGAAAGTGTCAAAAAACTATTGCCTTATTTAATTATAATTGTTTTATAACAAAATACTGTATAACTGATGTACTTCATGAAAACTGCAATGCCCATTGCCTTGTTACCAAAATGTTTGGTCTTTTGCCAATCATACCTTGTATTAATCTTACTTACGTATAATTTATTTATTTTGGTATCTGTGTGAACAGTTGTGTGACATGTAAGGACATTAATGGACAAATAAATTCAATCATTATGTCTGGTAATTGTTTTTCATTTATGGTTAGGAAAAATAAAGTTAACTTGGATTCAATAAAAAAAAATTTAATGTTTTGCAATGACTAGTGCAAACCTCATTAGTGATAATTGATGTAGCCAATAGGCCAACAGTATTCCAATCAGGAGCCTAGGCAGTCCCAGCTGTGTCACAGCATGTTTATAAGTATGCCTCTGAACCTCACAGGTTTTGAGAAAGTAGTCTTGTTACTAAAAATGCAGCAGCAATAGGGATAGAGCACAACTTTCTCCATATAAAAAGCCATTATTTGTAAAGAAAAACAATACAGCATGTGTACAAACTAAAAGACATCCACAGAAATACTGACAGGGAAGCGCACACACTGGAAGTACATGCCAGGAAACTGGCAACTTTTGTTACACTGACATACTCATAGGACACAAAAGGCGAAAATATATGTTTCTCATTGGAGTACGCTCAAAAATAAGTTAGAGGTGAGCATGTAGAAATGGCCATTTCCATTTCAAATTTGTATGAAATACCTAATTGACTTTGTGCTGTTATGATCAGATACTACTTTTGGCAAGTGATTATTTAAAATATAAAATAAATAAGAAGGAATCAATTTTCTTTTGATAAATATTTCATGAAATAGTAAAGAACTTCAAACTTATTCTAAAAGTGCACAGCCTTATTTCTTTTTGAAAGACCACACAATAATATTATCAAATACTCCTAACAGTACGTATATTATGATCTTGGAGACTTCGTTGTGATCTCTCATGAGCTAAAAATAACAATCTTCCTTTTACAAAATATACACTACCATCGTACAAAAAAACAAAAAAAAGACTGGCGTGGTCATTATCATACAATTTACAATGTAATTGTAACACATGAACCAACCATTTAATATTTCTAAGAAGCCCAGTGCGTGCCTGAGCAATGAAAATACACAGTTGTGTGAGGAACTAAAAGGCAGCTAAAATATGCTTCATTGGACAATCTTCAACTACCCACATCGAAATAATTGTATGCCAAAGCATAAAAATAAAATAAAAATATTCCTATTTAGAAATTTTGTTTTACTAAAAAATAATGCAAATGAAGGACCTGGGCAGGTGCATTTTTGTACATAATCTTTCCCCTGCTTAAAAGTAGCATTGAGATCAACATCAACAATTTTGCAATGGTAGGTACAAAGTGTTTGTCAGGTATAAAAGTGTATCTCACTACTATTGAAATAATTTTGGTTCAGTTTACAAGCCCTCAGTTTAACTAGGGTCCAATTTGGTGTTAGCTTTTTAACTGGCCATTTTTAGCCAATCAGCAGTTCATAGGAATTAAAAAGAGATTCCTGCTGTGATGAATGCTGATAAATGGCACCACCAGATAATTTGGCCAAAGTATCAGAACTGTGATAATCAAAGAAATTGCACAGAAATTCCTAATCTGAGCGACTGCTATGGTGAACAGGGACATTATGCCTGTAAATGTGAACTTGTCCTAAAATAGCTATGTCTACAGATACCTGTAACATGCCACAGAGCCAAAATTGGAATGGTGCTTCACGGATCAAAAAGTAAAGAGTCTTGAAAATATCACCAGCAGTCCACATGAGAACCATTGTAAGACTGAAACAAGCAAAAACCATAAGCAATATTATTATTAGTAGTAAATACACTGAGGTGTCTAGTTCCAGCATACAACTGACAAATTTAAAGAATATAAGAGAGTTTTGCATTAAACTACACTATACACATACGCACCTCATACCCTCTGTCGATTTGGATTCATAGTTTCTTTGAAGTTGTGGTAAACCCAGCAGAGCCTCACTAAAAAGAGCACTAAAGCCAAGAATTTCCACAAAGATAGGGACATCTATCAACATGTAAGTAACAAGAGAGCCGGTAATTGCCATCAGCATAGTGCAATCCACATAGGATTGAAAATCTGTCCACTTCCAAAAGTACCGCAAATCCATATCTGAAACATACAAAAATAATTTTTAAACTAGTACATGCAAAGTTCTCCAAATTTACATGCTGTGAGTATGTATGTACATTAGATATAATTTTACAGGAACAAAAGCAACAGAAAGCAATATAAATAGACAAAACAACAAATAAGAAATGAGTGGACAAAATTTAATTAATCTTTCAAACTTTCAAATCTGGCAAAATGTCAGGGAATTATTTTAAAAACCAATGATTCTTGAAAAAAACTGTTTTTAAATTGAGCATTTTATAGAATGAAGGACATTGCATACAATATCTTTGATTGTATCTCTGAGCAAATAAAATTCAATTAGCTCTGTGCACAATCATAAAATGCAGCTGACAGTAATTTGCTACATGACACACATACTCACTTTTTCTTTCCACTAGTTCCTCGTTTGCTAATAAAGCAGGAGGAACAAAAGGAGAAGAAATTAACCCCAATCTGATTTGAATAGAGATATTCAAATTCGCATAATCTAGAAATGCAGCAGCTAAGTCTTACCTGACAATGTGCGATCTCGGACCTTTAATATAACATGACTCCTTCGAACTTCAACACACAGCCGAACCATTACAAGCATAGTCACAATCATGACCACACTCTGGATGAGTAATGGTGCCTCAAAACGTTTGCCAAACCTAAAAAGTCAAAATAAAATGAATTTTTCAGTATTTTGAAAAGAGATTAGAAACAGTTCTGCTATCAGTGACCAAAATTACCAAAATAGGATTCGAAGAATGTTTGCTACCATGAGGGTCAAACATACGTAGAGAGAAAACCCATCAGAGTTGTTGGTCTTCTTAATTTCATAGTACTGAGGTATAAATGGCACTACACCACCAAATACCATAGCGCATGCTGATGAGGCACCAATAATTTGCAGCAGTAGAACAGATCCTGAGATTTCTTCTACATATTCCTCAGGCAGTTCGGCTGACAGCCCAGTTACTTCACTTATTCCACCCATGTTGAAGATCTGCAAGAAAAAAGTAGGAACAGTTGATCAATTAAAGTTTCATATCTCAAGTGGAAACAGAAGAGCAAAATTGAATCTTTTCAGAACATGATGCCCTCCGCTTGGTAACCACGGTTATTCCGTAATTAAATAAAAAACACTCCCAGAGTTAAAATTCAACTTTCAGGACATTGCGAAAGACGAGAGAAAAACAAAGCTGCAGGTGCAGCGACGGTACCTCAGAAGTTGTAACCTGCACTGCTGTTGTTTACAATAACGATGACGTGACGCCACTTCAGTCCTGAATGACGTCAAAAGGTCCACCGGTTCCCCAATGAAGTGAATGCTCAAACTAATTCATTTTGATCATGAAGTGCGGTATTTAAAGTTGCTTGAAGTGGTTTCAAACTATGACTCATGACGGCAAGATGACGGTCACAGCTGATCGCTAGTTTCTGTTGTTACAAGGGCAGGCCACAAAGCTGTAATATGAGAATTCGCGCCCGCTGCTTCGGACCAATCACGACTCGATGCGAACGTTAACTGTTTCATATACGGGCAAGCTGAGCTGCGTTTTGAAACTGACTTGCAGTCTAGTGAAAATGGCAACGGGCTGACAGTTTAGAGCTGCCGAGTGAATCAGGCCACAAGTTACTTATGCCGTACTTGGAAGAACAATATTCTGAAGACACCATGGACGACAGCAAGCCAGAGGTGTCTGTCATCGATGTGTATGACATCGCGTCGGAAATTGGCAAGGAGTTTGAGAAGATGATAGACGTCTATGGGACGGACGCAGTCATCAGTTTGATGCCTAAAGTGATCAACGCCCTGGAGCAGCTAGAGGGTCTGGCCACCAGAAATGAACGCGAGACGAATCAAATTCAAGAGCTCAAGGCTCGCATTGCACAGCTGGAGAAGGACAAGATCGGCAAAGCGGAGGACCGACAGCGCTTTGAAATGGTTAGGGCAACCCCGGTGGGGCGGTGGGCGGCCCTAGTGGCGGCCCTCGGCCACCGCACTGCTGCTGCAGTTGTAGTGATGGCACTAGTCCAGACTGACCTTTTGCATGCTCATGAACTTTAAAACTCTACTCTGGCGTCAAGTGGTTGTCCTTTGTCCCTGCTTCCTGTGGTTCCTTTTGTATCGGCCCTGGCTAAATGTCATTGAAATTTGCAGGAATTGGAGCAAATTGAAGAGCACTGGAGGGAGGAGTCGAGAGACCTCGAAGCAATGGTGTCTCATTTACAAGAGGAGAATCGCAAACTGTCATCACTTCTTGCTCAGAAACAAGCTGAAAAATCTTCAGATCCAGGTACTGAATGTGTTGAATTTATCTTCACGAATGTGGGCTGTTCTTATACACTGTTACGAAACTTCCCTTTCTTTTCGGTAGGTGCTTTGTTGAGCCCAGAGGTAGATATGGCATTAGTACAGAGACTACGGGGTATGGTGGATCGCCTCAAGGATCAGTTGCGACAAAGAGACCGAGAAGTTCACAGTAAACAAACTGAAGTTGAATCTGTGAGTCTGTAGCTAAATGGGGTCACTATCCTGCCCTTACCTACATTTAATGTTCAGTATGATTAAATAAGACTTATTCTTTCTTTTATTCAGCTGTCTGCTCAAGTTGAACAGTTGACAATTATCAGCCGTGAGTTAAGACGCAAACAAAGGCTGGGGCAGGCACAGATCCACTCACTCATTGATGAAAGAGCAGACTTTTTGGCCCAAGTGCATGATCAGCAACGAGAAGTATCATCATTGAGGCAACGTCTGGGTTTGGCTGAGAAGGAGAATGAAGATTTGAGTATATCTGCTGTGAGTTTTGTTCCTACAAAAATCTTCACCCTAAAAATGTGTAAAATTACTTTTGTTTATTAATTATTTTCCTTTTTATTTGCATAACAGAACCCAGACCTAACTAATAAAGTTATGTATGATAAAGATGATCCTAATCGACCAAGGTTTACAACTGAGGAGCTGAGGGAAATTCTTCATGAGCGAAATGAGCTTAAAGCAAGAGTCAGTGATTTAGAAGATGAGCTGGAGATGTATAGACCAAAAGATCCACCACAGAGGTGAGTTATATTTACACCCCATTTTATTATTGAAGTCTGAAATTACCACCAACTGCAAGAGTTGCACTTTTCAATCATTCAATTCAAAGGTGCACCCCCTTCTGATTTGTAAACTGGCATGCTTTTACCATGAAATTCAGGCTGTGCAATGCTATACTTCCTTAAGTTAATTGGTGTCTTTTAAAATAACTGAGATCTAGAAGTTTTGCCAGTGTGTTAACTGATGAAATTCATTAACTTCTTCATTTTTTTTAAAATTTCAACTTTAAAATTATGTTAGAAAGAGTTTAAAAGATCCACAAGATTGTCATAATTTTACTTTACAGGAGGTATGTTTCCATTTCAGCAGCAGCAACAGCAGCAATACCAGTTTGCATTCCAGTCACAGTAGCTTCAAAACCAGACAGGAAAACAGAAGCCTCACCTTTAACAGCAGCCACAGCAACATCAGCTGCAGCCCTCGTGCAAGCCCCATTCCTAGCCCAAGTTTACATGAGCCTGCTGAATCATCTGAAGCTGATGGACGTCAGCTTTACAGATCTACAGCTTTTATCCCTTCTCTTTTTCCCCTTCACCGGATTCCTTTGGCACAAACAATTCCTCCGTCGGTGTCTTCTATTGTGCTCCCACCGACTTTCCGAGATGTAGAAGTACCTCTCATGAACAGTAGTGATTCTAATTCCTCAGAACGGGATGGAGGACGTTCATCTCCTTTTAGTTCGACCCCTGAAGTACCTGGAAGCATGTGTCCAAGGCTGATAAAATTTGCCACACCTAACATCAATGGAGTCCGCACTCCATGTACTTCACCCCCTAAGTCAGAATGCACTACCCCTAAGAATCGAGTTTCCATAAGAATGACATTGTCTCCAGATGGACGTGTATCATGCATTGAGCACTGCACTTGAGAATCATTGTACTTTTACCTTATCTGTTTTAGTTTATGACTTGTATTAAAATTTCAATATTTATGAGTCCTTTTTAATTTTTTACAGAAATTCATTTTTTATGCCATAGTTTTTCAGTTGGGAAACTAACAAATAATACAGCTGATACAGTAGATTAATGGTATTTTGCAGTTTGGTGTTGTCACAGTAACATCTGTTGTTTGGTGTGTTGCTGGAAATTCTCTACTCTCATCTCCTATGATCACTGTATCTGTGTCATGTATGTTTGTTGCATTTCTGGGGCAGTAGCTGGTAACTATTTGTTTGCATGTCTTTACAGCCCACAGGAAGAGGAGCTAATGGTTGAGGGTCCTTTACCGCAAGAACCTGATGATGCCCCCTGGAAAAAGACGGATTCTGGAATACGCAAGTTGTAAGTTTTTAATTTTACTTAAATATTTGATCTCTGTACTTTTGTGCACGTGGCACTTGGACTGGAAGCATGCTACTGTTCACTACTATAATTCTTTGTGGTGGCTCACTTCATTATTATTAATTTTTTGTTCTTTTGTTTATTTTGAGTCTCTTTTCTTTGTTCTTTGTTCTGGGTCTCAAACTATGGCTTGAAGTGGATGACAGCAACTATTTTGTTTAAATCCAAACTCTATTTTGATTGTTTTAGAACTCTCCTTCTTTGCATGCTTTTTCCTTCTTAAAAAGAATATACTTGTATCTGAGGAAATTTATTTTGTTTGTCGTCACATTTAGTATTCCTCTCTTTATTATTTCAAGCCTTCATTTCTTTTCTCTTTTTCTAGTTGAGCATATTTTAAAACCCTTATATTTTAACTTCTTTTTTATTTTTTGTTTGTATCACAGATTCAAATACCTTACCAACGTCATTTCCAACACCCAGCTCATCTAAGAAGTTCTGATAAAGTGAATTGTAAGGGGTGTGCTGGGTTTGCTTGGCTGGGGAGTTCTTTCTCACTTTGGTGTAGTGTTCTCCTTCGCATTGTAATGTACCAAATATTCCTTGCTCAAGAGCTGTCAATTTTGTTGTCTGCTATGCAACAATTGGTGACAAAAATGAAAAGGGAATGATATGCATTTGTAGTCATTTTTATTATTATTTTACTTAGTTTTTTATTAGATTGAAAATAGCTGCTTCCTAGGAAGAGTTTTATATATTCTAGCTAGAAGTAGTTGCTTTTTTAAAATCAGTTCAGTCTAGATAGAATTTTTCAGAGAAACCCACCAGTATTTTACTTCTTGTAGTTAACTTGTACAGGAATTGATTTTCTTTTGCTTGGATTATTGTAAGGTTATTAATGAAATCTCATCATAAATAACAACCGAAGTTTATCAGTATTATGTACTTATCAATGAAATTGTCCTGGTCAGCTGGTACAGCACCAGCAGTTCCAAAAACCCTATTTATATTTTTCTAAAGCCCAACCTTAAATCATAATGTTTTTTGTAGATATTACTAACCCAAAATTTAGCCCTAATGTGTATACCTCTCCAACTGGGTATCATAGGTGACGGTATGCTTGCGTGTTTGTGTGCAGCTTTCGTCGGCTGTTCAGTGAAGGTGTCACTGGTGGTGGTACCGCAAGTGTGCTGCCATTTGTTGGAGGCAGTAGCAGCAGTGGTTCTAAACCCATCCTTTCATCTTCTCTCTCCAAGATTGGTTTGTCTGGCCATTTGTCTGCTTCTGGCGCCGCCGACACGACCGTCTGATGGAATAACCACAGCTCTCTGGGCAGGACTGGTCGACATAGACACCGCTGGTAATTTGCAGCTGCACACAAGTTTATTGCGCCTGTGATATACAATGCGTTATAACACGCTCTAGACGGATTATAAGAGTTCCTTTTTCTTTTTCCTCTCTTCTTAAACTCAGCATAGACTGATACACATGACCAATGCTCCACAATCTGCTTTTTATCTGCGCCATATCATTGTTTCTTTGAAAGAGCAAATGATGAGAGGTTTTCTTTGTATTGCATATCGTTCTTTTATTTTAAATGTATTTCAACTGTTTTTCCTGTAGATTGCTTTTCTCCAAATGTATATTCGAATTGAAGTGTCGAAAGGTGATAGTAAGAGTAAAAGAGGCTGTGGAAAAATATCTAATTGATTATGAAATAAATATTACCCTTAGATGGTTTATTCATATACATATATTTAATGTTGCTACTGATCCTGTGTTGACACAGTTCAGTTGTTATCTCTCAATCAAACATAACATCACTTCTGTTTTGTGAAATTGTATTAACTAGCTGTAAGTTTTAAGCTTTTGGTGCTTTGTGAAGAAGTATTAAGTAGTGTGTTAACTTTGTTAATTTTTTTTTTAAATTGTTTGCCTTGTTTTATATGTTGAAACTTAAAGAATGTTGATTTGCCATTCTGTAAGAAGTTTTTCCTTTTCTTTGCGAGGCTTTATTCGAATCAAACATTTAGCATGTGGCCATAACATAGTGATTGATCATGGACCTACTCTTTGTGTCATAGAATATTTAGTAGGGAATATTCTACAAAGTCTCTTTATCATTCCAATGAGATGCCAAGTCATGTGCAATGTAATACTACATTATGAGCACAATTTTATAATTCTCTTTTATTTTGTTGTTGAAGTAGTTAAAAGTAAACAGCAAAATACCAATTTTAAATTTTATAGGAACTTGCTTGGTTTGTATTCTAGTATGAAAATAGAATCTCTGAATACTTCAAGAATCAGATTATTTGTGAATGTTCTCTTGAAGTCAAGAAGTAAAGACTTGTGTTATTTAGAAGAGTTCTCTCATGTCTCAAGTTCATTTTATGGTGGAGACTGAATGAGACCGCTGGGGCCATTGTGATGCAAAGTAATATGGGTCCTGAACTAAGAGTTTCGTCTTAACTTCTTTCTTGATACTTACGTTGAATTTGTCTTCCATATCACCGCAGATCTGATTTTATGTAGCCATGATTGTTTTGCGACTGTTTTGAAATATTTTTGTTTTGTTCAAAGCTTTATTAAATGAGCTAATGTATATTTTCGATGGAAAACTTGTGTCATTTGTTCTATCCTTATCAATTGATTATTACGCACACACAGGCATGCACACCAAGTCAGAATATTACCAATACGAATAGACAAAAAAATAGTTTATTCTATCATAAATTACAAGATAGAGCAAAATCATCAATGAAATGGCTTCTTTCATCTTGGCAACAGTCTTCATTGAGTAAACCCTGAGTATCAGCTAAAAATATTTTGGGTTCAGGTTTTAATAATTGGCCGGATATCACATGTAGTCCACAAACACTGGAAGAAATGCAAGGACTAAATAGGACGGTATACTGTTCTCAGTTAAACTATAAGAACGACTGCTTGCAAGTACACTGAATATACAACTTATTCCACTCGACACGAAGAGAAATAAAGAACATTAGCCCTGCCGTGAGATCAAAATGGCAATGAGCGGGTAAAAAAAAGGGAAGAGGGGAAGACGGTCCACTCGCTTCCAAGGTCAGGACAGACCGCGGCGAATTTGCACCAAAGTCATCAGGCAAAAAAAATCAGCACATCACTCGTCGTTTCGGCGGTGGTCACAGTCCACTGTGAGCTCGAATGCTATAAGTCCATCCGAGTCGAAGGGGGTGCGGCCTGTGCCAGTGTGCCAGGCCTGTGCACTGTGCAGCGGGGCGCGGCGCGCGGCGTCGGCGTCTTGCTCAGCACACGATGGTGGCGCCCATGGTGCTGCTGGGCCGCTTGTGCCTGGGCGGCGGCGCGGGGGGTCCCGGTGGAAGCGTCGACGACGCCGTGGTGCCGTTGGAGACGCCGACCGCTCCCTTGGCGTGGCGCGCGTTGCGTCGGCGCGCCGCCAGCCAGCTCTTGACGCGGTCGCCCGCGTGGTAGAAGTAGAGGTAGACGAGGGACAGCACGGTGGCCGAGGCCGCCAGGGTGCACAGCACGATGAGCAGCACGAACAGGCCGTAGCTGCTGTGGCGGCCTGCCGGCGCCGGGGTGGCGTCCGCGGGCACGTCCTCGGGGACGTCCTCGTCTTGGGGCGCCAGCGGCGTGCCGTCCGCCTCGCCGGCCGAGTCCACGATGGCCACGTCGGCGCACGCGCGGAACTCCTCTTGCGGGCCGCAGCCCACCGCGCCCGTGCCGTTGGGGCACATGCCCCAGTTGTTGCCCGCGATGTAGCGCCACTGCAGCACGCAGTGCTTGCACGTCAGCCCGGCCGGCAGGCGGTACTTGGAGGGGAACACCTTGTTGCCCGGCCCCGGGTACAGGCGGCTCTCGTGGGCCTCGGCCTCGCCATCGCGGCTGCGCTCGGCCCGCTGCAGCACGTGTCTGTCCAGGCACTCCTGTGGGCGAAATTCACAAAAACTAGGGTTAGCTCAGCCAGCACACGGAATCTTCCGAGGGCCGTTTTCGCCGCTCTGTCTCTCTCGCACTCGTGGAGCGTTCCGAGCGCCACCGTCAGTACCTGCGTGGCGTCCTGCTTGGCGTCGTTGACGGGGCACAGGCGGAACTCGAAGTAGCCGCGGTGGTTGGCGGTCAGCTCGATGCGGATGGTGATGGCGGTGCCGGTCAGGTACTTGCGGACCAGCGTGCCGGTGCCGTACTTGCCGCCCGCCTCGTGGAGTCGCGGCTGCGGACACAGAGAAGAGGCTCGTCACTGCAGCCGGGTCGGACAGACAGAGAGAGAGATAGGAGTGGCTCGCCACTGCAGCCGATCGCTGTCGCTGTCATCGATCGGTCAATCGCACTGCCATTGCGCCACCAGTGCACCACGGTCCACTGGACCGGGTCCAGCGGGTCCGGCGTCATCTGGCCGCCGTGCAGCCGGGGCAAGCCTGGGCACCGGGGCCAGGCCAGGCCGTCCGCACGCCGCGAAGCTCCTTCGGACTCCTAGTCGTTATCACTGGGAACAGGCCGAGCAGGCAGACAGGCAGGCAGGAGCGCCCCGACCGCCCCGCGATTGGACACTTTCGCGCGCCTTTCGTTTTACCGCTCCATAAAGCCAGCCTGCCCGCATGACTGCCGGCCTCAGCCCCCGCGGCCGCCAAATAGGCTGCCTGCCTGCCTGGCTGCTGGCTGCCTGCCTGGCTGCCTGGCTGCCTGCCTGGCTGCGGTGGCGGCACCCGTTGGGGCGCCCGTCCGTAGGGGCACCGGGTGCATTGGGGTGAAAGGTGAAAGGCCTCGTGAGGAGGCAGCCACCGCGCGCGCACTCAAGGCGCACTGCCACGAAAACACGAAACTCTTACCAGCTGCGGTTTCAATTTTCAATACCTCTTTTGCTTGCAATTATTGGTACAATGTCAAAAAAAAAAATATTTAAGTTTTTGAGTGTGTTACCTGGGGCGTGTCCCACGGGTCGCCGCAGACGCCGCACCGGCCCTTGTTGCGCTGCCACTGCCTGCTGAAGCCGCCGCAGTACAGCTCGTGGTCGTTGTAGTCGGGCGGCGTCTCGAAGCCGTACCTGCAGGCAAAGCGAGGCGAAGCTGGTCGTTAGATGGACGCAGGAAACGAGGCTCACGCAAAGGGGAGACAAATAGCGGTGACGTTCAAGAAAGCTGCCAGCCCCGGAAACCAGGGAAACCGGGCGCAGGTTGGCAAACAAACGAAAGCCTGACAGGAAAATGGATCAGGAGACAAAGTGGTTTCCTGTCCTCCAGAGAGACAGACAGAGACAGACAGACAGACAGACGGGTCACAGCATCATCATGCCCAGCCGGAGCTCATTTCATTTGTCTCACGCGGCCACTGAGGCCGTGCTTATGGTGTGGCTTGGTGGTCACGGCGCCGCGGGAACTCGGAGGTCGGAGGTCGCGGAGGGGAGGGGAGGGGGCAGGGAGGGACACTGAAAAGACCACCTGGCGTCCAGGCGGTGTAGGTCAGCCCCTTTTGGCACCGAGGCCCAGGGCCGGGCCACGGACCACGGGGCTCTGCTCCATCAGGTGACAATGAGATCGTGGCTGCGCTGCAGCGTCTAGCCCGGCCCGGCCCGGCCCACTCAGCGCGATTAATTCCTTTCCTTTTCGACAACGGCTGGCTGCTTCCGAGGCGTCGTTTCGTCGGCCTGTCTCTGTCGCACTCGTGGGCCTTCCGCAGGGGGTGCGAGAGGGACAGAGCGACGAAACGATTCTTCGAATCCTTCGAGTACTCGTCTCAGGAAAGGCCTTTCGCCCGAGCGCCTGCAATAAAGTAGGGTAGGCCAACCCGCCGCACACGCGCGCGTGGCGGAGCATAGGGTTGCCTACCCACCGGGCGTCTGCCGCCTGCCATAATGCCAGCCCGCCGCACACGCGCGCGTGGCAGAGCATAGGGTTGCCTACCCGCCGGGCGCTCGTCTCTCGGCCGTCGCCGCGCTGCGCCGCGCCGTGGGAGCGCTTCCCTGAGAACGACACCGGCGGCGCGCGGCGCCGCGGCGCCCTTCCGGACCTACACTGTATCGCCGGCTGGAGAGAATTCTTCACCGGCCCTACTGAAGGAAGGGGGTCGCGGTGACGGCGTGAAGTGAGTACGGCAGGCAACACAAGATGACGCCGTCGCACTTACCTCCACATGGACGACCTGGACGGCGGCTCAATCAGCCTGCCATGGCCGCGGACGCCCTGCGCGAGCAGGAGCAGCAGCGGCGGTAGCAGCAGCAGCGCCCGCATGGTCTGGAACAACAACGACGGCACTGTTAACTCCGGCACTGTTAACAGCATGCAGCACAGTGACGACGCTGATGGCGACCGCCATCGTGATGAAAGTGGCTGCGGACAAAGACAAGAAGGCCCTGATTCGCGTGCGTGGCCCGCTGCCCCGCGTCGTCACGCGCGTGTCCGCGGTGATCCGAGCCTCGGGATTGCAGAGCGCCACCCCGCGCCGGCCTGCCGGCCTGCCTGCCTGCCGCCTCGGGACTGGAACACACATCCGGACGAACGTGTTCTAGTTCCCGGGCCGCTACACATCGTGTGCACTGCACACCTCCGCCGGCCACGACCACTGATGTAAGAAACGGCCCATCCATCTGACACAAATCTCCTTTCTCCTCCGAAATTCGGTCCTTTTTTATCGCGTTGCGCGTCTTGTTCGCCTCGTTGCCGGCGGTCCCTGCCGCGCTTTCCGGCGCGCTGTCTCCACCAGGCGCACGGTCGTGTGTGCCAGTGTGTCTGCGTGTGTGTGGCCTGAAAAGGCGGAGACGAGTCCGCGGAGCAACGGCCTGCGAGAACTGACAACAGCGTAGCATCGCGGAGCATCGCGGAGCACAAAGGGAAATTAAACTAAATGAAGAGGCGAAGGACTGCCCTCCCGCTTCGCGGAAAGCAACGAGAGACGGGGCGCGGACGCCGGACAGACATGCGGGCTGCGCCGGGCTGCGCGCCCGACGGCCGCACAGGGCAGTCCTGGGCCTAGGCTGCCTAGGCTGTCCACTGCGGAGTAGAGAGCAGAGGTCGGCCCCTTCACTGCCAGGCCACCGCCAAGTAAAAGCGTAACTCCGGCTCAGATCGGCCCGTCCACTCTTACGCCAGTTTGGAATCATTTTTTCCCAATCTCATAAGCCGGTCGAAAGGAGCAGCACGAGGATCCCGAAAAAAGAGAGAGGGAGGACAGAGACTTATTGTGGTACTGGGGAATGGCCTTGAGAGTTCACGACACGGCTGGGCTGCTGTAGCACCACAGGGGAGTGGCGTGGCGGGGCGGGGCCTGGCGTGGGTGTGGTGTGGAGCATGTGGTCGCAGGGCGGTATCTACAGGATACGGCCTGGGTAAAAGGGCAGCCGTCCAACGCCCATGACGCGTAACAGGTATCTTAACATGTCCTTTTTTAAAAGTGACTTTTTCATAAAAGTGAGGCGTTACTGAGACAACCAAATCGTAATACGACAGGTTTGAATCCCTACCGCTTCGGGCAGTGTACGACAGCCGACGCCTTTGTGCCAGACAGTCTGCGAGAGAAAAAATAAGCGAGTTCCCGGTGCCGCGCCGCGCCGTGCCGCCCGCCATCTCGTGCAACAGGTTGATTCTGCAGACAGGACCCTGCTGGCCTTCGCCCCGCCTGGCTTCACCACCCGCCCCTCCTCCTACAGTGCGGCAGCACGGCCCTCTTCTTCTCCCAGGGCGCGATGAGGTTTGATGGGGCAACGGGCAGCCCGGCCCGGCCCGGCCCGGCCGGACGACGACGAGGGTGATGGTGGAGGCGCTGGAGCGTCCGCGAAGTCATCCTCCAGGCTCCAGGAAAAGGCGGGGCTAATGGCGAGTGCGGCGCACGCAGGGCGCGGCTGGATCGGGGGAACAAGTCGCTGCACTGCAAAACGGCTGCCGTCATCGCCATCGGCTGCAGCGGGCGGCGCGATGATGGTGGGCGTCATGGTCCAGGCCGTCCAGGCCGTCCAGTCCTGTGGTTCCTCCCTCGGCCAGGCCCGGCCAGGCCACGCTTTCTACCTTGCCGTGCTTGCCGCGCTTGCCGTCGGCGCGCAATCCGTTCCCTTTCAATTGGAAGGAAAGCCCGGCCCCGCGCCCTCCGTGCAGGCCGGCAGCCAGGCCGACGGGCACGACGCACAAAGACGCCGCACTCTTCGACGCCGTGCTGCCGTGCTGCCGTGCTGCTTTCGGGCCTTTCAGGCCGCGAGGCCCGGGTTACCCTGACGGCGCCGCGGGGCGCGAACTGCACGAAGATACGCCAAGGATCAGCAGGCTCATTCTGAACAGCGTCTCGTCGCTCGCTCCATCTTGCCGCACCGAATGGGCCGTTCCGCGTGGGCCGTGTGAGAGAGACACAGCGACGAGGCCCGTTTGGAACCAGACCGAGTACTGCCGGGCGTGAACGGGCCCGTCGCGTCCGGGCGGCGCGAGGTGCCCTGGGTGCTCCGTGAAGCGCGTCCCTTGACTGGCTTCTCCAACGACCCGGAGCGCGCCGGAGCGCCCCGCCCGATGAAGACGAGGACGTCCACATCCGACAGTCCTGCAGTCACCCGGGAAAAAATAATTGAACGCATCAGTCGCCTCTAAAAAAAATTAAGGATCGATAAATCTGGCACGAGGCACGGAGTTCACCGCGGTTCAAGGATCAAGGACACTGTGAGCCGTTTGAGCCGACTCGGCTGGAGCGCTGGCGGTGGACGGCGCAGCGTTTCGGCCGATACCCCGGCCCACCGCTTGGGCCGCGTGGTAACGGTGTTGCGTGGTCTGGAGGCGTCCTGGAGTCCTGGAGGCCCCCGACTGGAGGCTGGAGGGGGCAGGGGGCCTGTTTTCGTGTGCGATCCGTGCGGCCGCGGCCACCGCGCGCCCTCTATGACAGCGGACACATTTCGCTCCGGGTTCCCAAGGTCCTCCGGCGACCCCGGCGAGGCACCCTGCCTGCAGTCGCTGCTGGCGGCCGTGCTCGTTTCGGTGGGCAGGGCGCCAAGAGTTCCTCGTTCCCTCCAGCAGCAGGCCTCGCCGCCTCGCCGCGCCGCCAACTGTGCCGACGGGGACACCGATTGGACTAATCCACCGGTACTTCTGGAGAACGGCATTGCCGTGCCGCCGCCATGGGCCCGCCAACCGCAGCCAACCCAAACAAAAAGCACAGGACAACTCTGGGTCGGGGCGGCGCCCTCGCCGTGTCCAGCGTTAAGGTCTCCAGGACTCTACCGGCATGCGAGTCGGCGTGTCCACTGCACGGCGCTACCTAAAAGAGGAGAGGGGGGGGGGGCGAAAGTGCTTCCGCCACACGACGTACCGCGGCGGCAAGGAAAATAGCTGTGGTATGACTTGGCCATGCATACAGTCTCAGACTGGGCACCCCGAGCGGCCGGCTGCCGAGCCGTGGCGAGCCGTCCCAAATAGAGCGAGGCGACGGCGACGTCCGGGACTGCCTACCTAGCCCCACGTGACTGCGAGACTGCGTACCAGTGGCGTGCACCGGGAGGGGGGCATGCGCCTATTTTTGGCACTAGACAGACGCCTGAAAGGTGGGCAAATCGCAATGCAGTCGTGGGTTTTGCACGCCGGAATGTAAAGCAAAGAGCGTGGCCTGACACCCTCCTTCAAAGAATTCTGGGCACGCCACTGCAGCGTACTACGCGAACCCTAGTGCACTGTCCCTCCCGCGGCACGCGCCGCGTCGCGCCGCGTTGCGTGCGGCGGCTCGGCCACGGCCACGCGGGTCGAGAAGGAGGACGGGAACAAAACGACGGACATCTTGAAAAAAAAACTGAACCGAAGAAACGACGAGCTCATTGATTTTCAGCGAAATTCGCCCCTCGATCGCCCCACTGTCGGGCAGGGTAGGGCGCGCCGTGGAGGGGCATTTGCAAGGCGGTCTTGCCGCGCTGGACTGCCGCGACGCTAGCTCGGCCGCTCTGGCTCTGGCTCCGGGCGGCACGGCGGAGCAAGCACGGCGAGCACAGCGCCGGCCCCGCCCTGCCCTTGAAGTCTCTCCCAGGTCCCAGGCCGCGCCGCCGCTCTCGTTCGAGCTCTTGTTCGAGTCACACACTGGCCTCACCGAGTAGCTCAGCGCCGGCCCGTCATGCGTCATCTTTACTCCGAAACGTCGTCACCGCATTAAAAAAAATGGCACTGGACCAGGATCGAACCCTCGGCGTGCGCGGGGGCAATGAATTCGGCTGTGCGGCGCGCCGTGCCGCCGACGGTGATTGGAACGGCACACACGCACGCGCGCTCACACACACAGGCACAAAAGTGACTTTAGCGCGACGACGACGTGGCTGTGTCGGAAGGCACAGCAACACTTTCCAATTCGGTCTTTGATTAATTCCCCCAGCGAGTGAAAGGAGTGTGGCTTGTGCTGGACGCGAGCAAAGCTCAGCGCAGCGCAGCGCGGGGACTTTCTTGGAGCGGAATCCGCCGTGCCTCGGAAGGGTCGCGTCCTGCCCTGCCTGCCCTGCCTGCCCCGCCATTCCCTACACGTCCCGTCCGCCCGGCCGGTTCGATCGGAACGGTTTCCGGGCAAGCGGCGAGCGACTAAAAAAAGCCCCGCCACGGGGAGTCGAACCCTGATCCTCCGGGTTGGCAATCGACGCCTATGCGCCCTCGGCCAGTCTAGGAGCGCCGTGTCGAGAGGGGCCGAGGCCACCAGGCGCGACTGGGAGATAAAGGCGGCGCTCCTTTCGACACAGAATTAGCACGAGGCGCCTTTACAAGTCTGCAATTAGGCGGTGCCGCGTGTTTTTATGGGGTCTTCTTCCTTCGTCGTCGCCTCAGTCAGTCACTCGGCGACGCAACTCGAGCGTGACACGAGCGCGACACGAGCGTGACACGAGCGGAGCGCGCACATTCTCACAACGCGAGCACGACGCGAGGACGGGACGACGAAACGCGTCAACGCAACGCCGGCAACGCAACCAGCGACATGTGGGCCCTAATCGCGGCGAGCCGGCCGGCCTCTCTCTCTCTCTCTCTCTCTCTCTCTCTCTCTCTCTCTCTCTCTCTCTCTCTCTCTCTCTCTCTCTCTCTCCTGAGGTTTCATGTGCAGGGTCCGGCGATCGACTCACGCACGTCTTAATATTTTCTCGCCCGGCGTCGAAACTAACGTCGGCCCGTCCAGGTCCTCAGGTCAGGTGCTCTCTGCTCCTGGCCGCTCTTCGAACCTCCCCTTTCACCCGGGGTGGCTGGGCCGAAGCTCGATTCCTAGTGTAGCACCCGTCTCGTTCTGTCTCTCTCGCACCCCTCCGAGTGGCGCGGTGAGTGCGAGAGAGACAGCGCTGCGCGGCGAGTCCGGCGGTCTTACGTGCCGCCGCGACGCGCCGCGATATCGACCCGAAGGGTGACCTTCACGGCCTTCGCGGCACTGGAGGAAAGTGGCCGCGCCGCCGTCCGGGAGTGCGGGTGGGGAAAAGGGGGGGGGGCGCTTTGCGGCGGCGACAGGACGAGAACCCGTCAACGAGGTGGCAAGGGGTAAGAAAAAAATTCTAATTAAATCGGACGGGATATGCAGAGGCTCGCGTCGTTTAGCGGATGTGTGTTTCGAGACGAGGTTTCGCCCGCATCCTGTTGTGTCGTGTGTGGCGGAGGGTGGCGGCGAAAGCGGCGTGTGTGTGCGTCTGTGTGTGAGTGTTATTTCACATGCAGAAAGTGGACCGGGAATCAGAATTTCTGGATCGACTACTTGCCTGCCGCCACCAGTTTTTTTTCTGGTGCTCTCGGTTTCCGCCGAGTCAGCGAGTCAGCGCTGCTCCGCCAACTTCGTTTCCGTGCGTGTCCAGGAACAAACACGACATGCGGTTACTAAATTCCCACAGTATTGTCCGAGATGTCAACGTCAAAATGAGTTTCAAAACAATTCTTTCGTCGAATAAAAGACTTTTATCTAACTGACAACATTGTGCGTTCACTCCTTGGCCGCGCACCTCCGCTTCAGATCTCGTGAGTCGACGCTCGCTTGCGATGATAACGCGTGAATCACTTTCCTGCGAGCGGCGATTCGTCATCGCCGCGTGCCATCCCGCCGGACGAGCGGACTAGCTATCGATTGGACGCCTCTTTTTACTTCTCTTTTTTTTTCATCAAATTAGAAGCAGTGTTTCGCTGATTATATACCCTGGCGGCTTCCTGCTCCGCTGGGCCGATGGCTGGGCTGATGGACCGATGGCGCCGGGATGGATGTTAGGTCATCCGGCCACAGTGAAGCGGAGCGAACGGCGCGGCCCCGTCACGCGGTGGGTCTTTTACAGCCGAAAAAGAAGTGAAAGAGAGAGAGAGAAAGAGAGAGACACCGCCGCCCCCCGCGCTTCTCGTTTCGCGGAAACATAGAGAACCTGCCGCGGACTGGACCACCTTGAGGTGCGTGCGGAAGGGATTGCCTCTCGCTGCTCGTCGTGATAGTTCGGGGCGTGCCTCTTCTTTTACGGTGGGGTGTTGCCTCGGGGCCCTCGCTACCCCACCCTGCCTCATTACGCCGGGTCTTTGACGCGCTCCGGTCCGGGGGCCGATGCTCAGGATGTCCCTACACCGGAAGTGCCCTGCGCCTGCCTGCGCCCCGTGTCCGCGCTACGCCCCCCGCCGGCCACGCGTGACGCGCTCCACCGCCCTCCACGAAAACGGCGCAGCGAGTTTCACTGAAAACGATATGCCTTTACTGAATCAGCTTTTTCGTTTTTAACAGTGTCCCCACTCCGCCACACGCAGCATGATCATTTCGCCTTTCATCCATTGATTCATGCATACGGCCGACGTGAGACGCCGGCCGGGCACGTACCCACAACGCAATGCGTTAGGGACGGGCAGGCAGCAACAACAACAATAACAACAACAACACGATGACTGCGGCCCGGCCCCAGGCGGCCCCAGGGCATTGGCTGAGCACTACAAAGGCCCAGAGGTAACAAGGCCCACAGTGTGGCAGTCTGGCACAGGGGGCTCCAAGGGATATTGCCAATCGCCGCATCTTCTGCCCACCCCCACCCTCACCCCCACCCCCACCCCTCCCCGGGAAAGGGGAGGGGGAGTGCGGCGGACTCCCCGCTGGCGGGGCGCCTCGCAGATTGCCCCCCTCCCCGGCGCCCTCACAATGGGTGCGAGTGAGAGGGTGATTGTTTGATAGGAGCCCGGCCAGCCAGCACGGCGAGGCGACGCTCGACGGTCGGGCGCCTCGCGGTGCCTTTTTTCTCACGAAGAACGCAACAACTCGTCCGCCGTGCCCGGCCGTGCCATTTCGTGTGCGGTGCGAGCGAGACAGAGCGAGGCAGAGCGAGGCTGAGGAAGGGCGCCGCGGTGGCGAAACCCTAGCCAAGGCCGGGCCGGTAAGGCCAGCCAGGCCAGCCGCGCCGACGAGGTGTGGGAACGGCTTAAACGCGTCACAAATAGGGCTGTGAGCTGTGAGTGGCGGCAAGGACCTGAGTCCGCCGTGTGTGTGTGTTTGTGTGTGCGCGCGTCCGCGGAGGGGGCTGTCTGCGAGCTGCACCGGGCCCATCGGGCAGCCACCCCGACGGCAGGAGAATGAGTCACGCAGTGCAGGCCCGTGCATTCCTGGCCAATGCATGCCGAGGCTGCAGTGCTGCAGTGCGGCGCAGTGTAAGGTGGCCGTTGACCCGGCCGGGCTGGGGCTGCTGGGGCTGCGTCGCTCCTCTCGCCGGCCGGACTCGCTGCGTTCGCTGCACTGTATGTGGCGGCACACCGGCGACACTCACCTGGCCGGTCGCGCTGTCCGCGGGCAGGGCGGCAGCTGGCGGCAGCCCCGATAGTCCACTGGTCGGAGTCACACGGACACACACTCACACACACACTGACCGCGCGGCGCGCAACGGCCGCCACTTAGCGCATAGCCGCGTCGCGTACTTGGCGCTCTTGGTGGAGTCGTGCCGGCGCACCATTCCCCTGCAACGCCTCCAACGCGCGCAACGTCGTCTCTTCGGCCGGCCGCCGCCGCAGCCGTGCTGGAACTGGAGCCGCGGACCGGCTGGGCCCGGGCCGCTGCCCCCCTCCCCTCTCCGCCGCACCTGCCCTCCCACTCCGCCCTTTCACCGCCACTCCCTGCCCTCCCCCCGCGGCCCGCGGCCAGTGTATCGCCGGCCTTTATGGAAGTAAACCGTTGCCCCCTTCCCCCCTGGCCCCATGGCGCCCCAGACCGCCCCTGCGCTGCACAACGCGGCCCCGGCCAGTGGACTCGGTGACAGAGAGAGACACAGAGAGAGAGAGAGGGCTCCCGGAGTCCGACACCCAGCTGTCTGCCCGCGACAAGCATCTTTTGATGCGGGCCACGGCTTTGGCTACCCCAGCAGGTGCACTGGTGTTTGGGCTAGCGGCCCGCTGCCCGCTGCGGTCTGGGGGTGCTAACCGGCAACGGGCCAAGCGGGCCGCGGGGCCGTCCCTAAAGGGAATGCCGCCGAAACAGGGATCACCCTGTCAAAAAGATTGAATGGAAATTGAGCTAGTGACATCTGGGGCGAGTTTTCGGGCAGCGGTCCCAGTTTGGAAGGGTGGGCCTTGTTTGGGTGACGTGGGTTCGTTCGGCTTGCCGAGGCCGAGGCCCCAGCGCCACCCCGCAAAGCACGGCACGGCAGAGCGCCACGGAGGCGCGGCCTCCTCTACTCCGCGCGCGACGCTCGCCTCCCAAGTAGGAGGTGCCAGCTAATTTAATAGCAGCCCGGGAGGCTCCCCTGCTGGTCCCGGCGGTCCCGAACGCCGCCCGCCTCGTCGCGGTAACGAGATTACCCTTCGGGAAAGAAGCAGAAGCACCTGCGGCTCGTTGTCATTGCCGTCTCGAAGCGGAGTCGTGCTGCTCACAGTGTGGGACGACGAGGGTAATGCATCGCGTCGCGATTCGCGTGTCCATGGCCGTCCGTCCGGTTGGCGGGCCTGGCGGTGCATCTTATCTTAATCGCGGTGGAGGAAAGCTGGGGGCGGCATCCATCGACGCGCACCTCTCGAACGCTTTTACAGAACGGCGAAGCGTGCACGCACGCACGCGGGCCGTACCTGGCGCGCGAGCACGACACGTCCAAGGCCCGCCAGGCCCTACGTGTCAGTGTATGCATGCGTGTGTGTGTGTGTGTGTGTGTGTGTGCGTGTGTGTGTGTTGCAACGAGGGGGTGGAAGGGGGCGTACACGTGCTGAATATACGACTCGCGTGATACGACGAGAAGGCGGCGCCCTGCCGGAGGTCGCCAGTGCCGGCGGGGAAAGGGGGGAGGGGGGGGAGGGGGAGGGGGAAGCTCTCGGCGGTGCCGCGAGTTCCTTTGGCGGGCCGGTGTGAACAAAATGGGGAAAGGTGTCCGTGAGGGATTGCATTGCCCAATCAGGTGAGCGCTTGTGTGTGTGTAAGTGTGTACGTGCGAGTGTTTCGTGAGTGAGAGTGTTTGCAATGTAAGTGTGCCGCGGCGGACGCGGCGAATGCGGGGAAGAATGCCCGCACCGCGCCGCACTGCGCGGCACAGTCGTAAAGGTGGCATGCTCGGCCGGCAAGAGCAAAGCAGCAAAGCGCGTTCAAAGTCGACGAGTGAAACCGCGCGGCGGGGAGCGCGGCCGGCGGCGTCGCGCGGCGCATGGAGTATCGCCGGCCACGCGGCCACGGCGCGGAGGACGCGGGGTAGGCCGGCCGCGGACAGGAAGTCGCTGCCCGAGGCTGCCCGAGGCTTGCCGGCCGCGACGGGAAGGACTCGATGCTCGAATGACTCTCCCACGGGATGGGTGGAAGTGAGGTGATTTCCCTTTCAGCGTATCTCTGTCTCTGTCCGTCCCAGCCCCGGTCACGACCGCCGTGCGACACGGACACGGAGCCTCCAGACTCACTCCGTCGCTCTGTCTCTGTCGCACTCGCAGGGCGCCGCGTGCGAGAGAGACAGAGCGACGGCAGGGCCGGGGTGTGGGGAGCGCCGTGAGGGTCGAGAGGCCCGTTGAGCGGCCGTGCGTTGCGGGGCTGTATACCCCACAGGCGCTATCGCCTAGGCTGGGAGAGCAGTGAGGGTAAGGAAGGGTTCAAGGAGAATGATGCGATGCCGCCCTTGCTCGGTCTTCGTTCCTCGGCGCTGCCCTCCGAGGAGCAGGGGGTTTATTTCAATAAATAACAATGACTTTGTACATACATTAACAATTACAAATGGACTTGATGAGATGACACTGAGAACGAGAAACGGGCATGCAGTCCAATAAGTTTGCGCAGTCCATGAAATTGCACCGCATGTCCTTCTCATGAGAAAATAAATAAGATAAATAAATACACAACAAAACAAACAATTTCATAATCAATAATTTACGAATCACACTGTTTGAGAATTGGCTTGACGGATCCCGGCCGAGGGAGTTGGCTGAGTTCACAGCTGACTAGTCAGACTGGGCGGCGGGAGGCGCGCCCTCCCCCACCCTCCCCCACCCTGCCGCACGCACGCACGCACGCCTGGCCGAGAGGGAAATAAATTAGAATTTGGAGGGCTGCGTCGCGGCGCGGCGGGGAGGCCTTCACAATTTGTACCGATCGGCAGACCCCAAGCGCGTTGAGCTTGGGACTCGACTGACCCGTCAGCTGTCAGAGCCTTTGCGTTCCCTGGCTATCAATAAATACAAAAATAAATTAAGTCTCAAATAAATAAAAAATAAATACAAGATCAGACATTGAGCATCGTTTCGTTGAGCTATAGCCTCATCCGGCGGTGTGTCCGCGACCGAAGGCCCCTCGCGACGGCGGGCTGCACGGGCTGCACGGGCTGCGCGGGCTGCACGGGCTGCGCGGGCTGCGCGGGCGCCACCCTCGACAGCAGCTTGAACGACGCACTCCTCTTCTCGTCGTCGTCCGTCAGGTCCAGCCCGAAGTCGTCGTCATCGTCGTCGTCATCGTCATCGTCGTTCTTGCTGTCCTTCTTGTTGGCGGCAGTCTTGGCGGGCCCCGTCGTCTCGTTGCTCTCGTCGTTCTCCTCGTCGACCAGGTCGTGCTCGTCGTGGACGCTCGCCTCGGCGACTTCGGTGACGACGGGCTTCTTTTTGTTGGGCTTCTCGTCTTCCTCGTCGTCCAGTTCGTCGTCGTCGTCATCCTCATCGTCGTCGTCCTCCTTGTCATCATCGTCGTCATCGTCATCGTCGTCGTCCTCAGTGGCGGTCGCGGCCGTGTCGATGAGGGAGCCGAGGACGCCACCGGGGCCATCCTCCTCCTCGTCGTCATCGTCATCGTCATCCTGCACGTTGTTGCTGGCCGTTGTCTTGACTGTCGTGGTCTCGCTGCTCTTCTTGTCATCGTCGTCGTCGTCGTCATCGTCGTCGTCGCCGCTAGTGGCCGCCGCAGCCGTCTGGATGAGCGTGCCGAGGACACCCGTGCCCGCGAAGTCGTCATCGTCCTTGTCCTTGTCAGCCTTCTTGACGGGGGCCTTGGTGGTGGGGGACACGAGGTTGCTCTCCTCGTCATCCAACTCCTCCTCCGGCTTCTTCTTATCGCCGTCGTCGTCTTCATCGTCATCGTCGTCATCATCGTCATCGTCCTCGTTGTCGTCATCGTCGTCGTCCTCGTCGCCGAGGACGCTGGTCGCACCGTCCTGCAGCAGCCCGGTCACGCTGTCATCGTCGTCGTCCTCCTCCTCCTTCTTGGCTCCGGCTGGCGTGCGGTCCTCGGCGATCACGTGGCTGCTGATCACGATGGGGGAGGTCTTGATGGTGGCCTGGTCCCCGAGTTCGTCGTCGTCCTCATCGTCATCTTCGTCGTCTTCTTTCTCGTCAGCGTCGGCGCCAGAGGCGGCGGCCGGGGCGACCTCCTTGTCGGCGGCGTCGGGCTGCACCACGAACTGCACGGCCTGCTGGCTCTCCACCGCCATGCTGTCCTGCGGGTCCTGCTGCGCGTCCGGCTGCAGAGCCAGGTCCTCGGTCGTGGCCTCCTCGGCCAGCCCCTGGCCCTGGACTACGCTCACGGTGAAGGACGTGGAGGTGACGGGCTCCTCGTGCAGGGACTCGGCGGTCACGGCGTCCTGGGCGAGCGCGGGGCTGTTGCTGGGCGCGGCCGTGATAACGGTGGTGGTGGACGGGGTGGTCGCGGGCGTGCTGGGGCTGGCGGCAGGCGTCTTGGTCTTGTTCTTGTTCTTCGTAGATTTGGTGGGCTTGCGGCGTGTGTTGGTGGACTTGACGGGCTTCACCAGGTCGGAGTTGGCCACCTCAGTGGGCATGAACACCGGCGGCGGCTTGATCACCTTCTTCCTCTTGTCCTTGCTGGGCTTCGAGGGCCGCGCCGTCTTCTTCTTCTTCTTGGTGGCGGTCGAGTCCGAGGTGCCGAAGAGTCCTCCGAGCAGCTCGTCGCCCAGCACGGAGAAGCCGGTGTAGTCGGGCGAGTCGGACTCCGCCACCTGGGACGCCGCGTCTTCGTCATCGTCGTCGATGTCGAAGTCGTCGTCATCATCGTCGTCGTCGTCGTCATCATCATCGTCGTCATCGTCGTCCTCGTCATCGTCGCTGAGGTAGTCGTCGTCCTCGTCGTCGTCCTCGTCTTCCTCCTCCTCCTGCGCGGGCCGGGCGGGCTTGGCGGGGGCGGGGATGGGCTTGGCGGGCTCCAGACGGACGCCCTCGGGGCCGAAGCGGAAGCAGGACACGCGGATGGAGGCCTCGACGTCGCCGTCAGAGCGCAGCTCCAGCCCCAGGCACGCGTTGAACTGGTCGTTCTTGCGGGAGATGCCGTACACGCGGCCGCAGAACTTGGTGGCGCCGCCGGGCAGGGCCATGCACACGGGCTTGGGCTTCTTGCCTGCGAGGAAGAGGAGAAGTCACATTTAATTCAGCAGCCGCTCTCGAAAACGAAGCAGTAGCGTCACAGCAGCGCGGTGAATCAGCTTACCGGAAATGGTGACATTCTGCAGGATGCGCTCGCCGAAGCTCATGGTCACCATCATGTTGTCGCCCTGGAGGTAGGTCACTTTGGCGCATCCTGAAAATAACAAAATGGACAGGGAAGTGAGCGGGACCGCGCACCACTGCAAGTCATGCCAATTGCCCCCTCTGCCCTCACCTGGCCCCTTCACGATGGGGATCCTGAAGTCACGACAGCAGCTGCAGACGTCGGTGCCGCAGTGGCAGTTCTTGGGCTTGCTGGGTTTGGCGGGCTTGGCGGGCTTGGCGGGCTTGGCGGGCTCCTCGACCGCCTCCACGGCCGCCACCGCCACGGGCACGGGCTGTTGTCTGGCCGGGGAGGCCTTGCTCTTCAACGCTCTGCCATCTTCGATCTGTCGCACCGACGTGTCCAAGGGCACTGCAACACGAGTCAAGGTCATTCCAAGGTCCTTCCAAGGTCATTTCATGTCCACGACCTCGCGATGATGGTGGTGACAGTCCGCGGTTCGCGCCGCGCTTCGGGTCCGCTTTACTCACCGATCACCCTCGACGCGGCGAACGCCAGGAAGAGGAAGATCAGCAGCAGCTCTATGATCGCGGAGAGCCGCATTTTGCCTGCAACACACGTGGGACCAGGGTCAGACAGTGAGACACAACGCCCTGGAAGGTGTAAGTCGACTTTATCAGTGGGGCGGTAATCAATCTTGGCAGGTGTGCTTTCGTGGGCAGTGCACCGCGTGTGACCGCAGTGGCACGTGCAGTGGCTTGGAGAGAAAGAGAGAGAAAGAGATGGAGAGAGCCATGAGACAAACACCAGTAACGACCCCGACTGCCAATAATAGGTCTAGGCGAATAAAGGGCGAGCTGGCTTTGGCTTTCTCCGCACGACGATGCAACAAAGCGCACCGCGGTACCGCGGCGTGTGTCTGGTCCGAGCCCTGGCGGGCCTGGCAGGGCCCCTGCACGCTCTCGTCGCTCTGCCTCTCCCGCTCTCGCGGGGTGAGCCACACGGGGGTGCGAGCGAGACAGAGACAGAGCGACGAAAGCACTGCTGGGAATCAGCCTGCATGCGCGGTCTCGGTCTCGGCGTCTCGGCGCTGGCTCTCGCTCGGCCGGCGACGCGTCGCTTTGCAAGTATTGCCGCCGGGAGTCTGCGGAAACGCCTTTCTCCCGAGATAACGACTGTCGTCGTGCTGCTGTCCTCGCCGTCGCCGTCGAGGCCGTGAGCCCCGCCACGCCGATCGTAATGAGATGCCCATTGTCAGGGTCTGGCTGCCGCCGGCTGCTCAAATAGGATGCCGCGGTGGTAGCCGTTTCTCCCGGCGGGGCGCTGCCAAGGCACTGCCAAGGCGCTGCGGACGCCGCTAGGCCGGGCCTTGCCTCCAGGCGCCTCCAGGGCGGGGCCCGGCCGCTGCACCGGTGCTTTATCAGATGCCATTAGAGGAAGCCATCGGCCCGGTCGGCCCTGGCGGAGTCCTGGCGAAGCGCGGCACAGGAGCGGGCTCGCCGTCAAGCAGAAAGACCCGCCAGATACGTCGGCAAACAAAGGGGTCATCAGCAGCAGCAGGCAGCCGCAGCGAGGCGGCGAGGGTGAGACGGCGAGGCGTTGAGGCGGCCGGAGACGTGAACGCGGGAGACAGGCAACGCGCCGGCAGGTAGGCAGCCCAGCTGGCTCGCGACTTGGCTCGCCGGAGAGAGGAACGAGGAGCCAAGGCACTGAATGCTAAGGAGGGAATGGCAGCCCCGCACGCGCACGCCGCACGCCGCGCGCCACGCTTCGCTGAGAACGCAGAACGCGCAAACGGCCGGGCTGCATGCGTCTGCGAGCACACCGACTGTCACCGGAACCAGTAGGGCAGGCGGCCGGGCCGACGCACGCTTGCGCACGCTTGCGCACGCTCCAGAGGGCAGCGTGGCGTGGGCGCCGCGGCCTATCGGCCTAACTGCACCCCGCGCGGCCCACGCGTGACTTGACTGCAACCAAAGCGCTTCCGCCGGGACTCGAACCCGAGCCCTCCACGCTGCACCCTGGCTCACAGTGCCGAAGCTTGTCGGCTTGTTACATGTCTCGTTATGCCAAAAGCCGGTTGGCAGGGCGACGCGACGCCTGGGCACATTACGTCCCGTCCTCGGACGCGGACGCGCCTTGTCCAGAGAAAGCGGCTCATCACATAGCCTACCGGCCTACCGCCATCGCCTACCCATAGCCTGCGTCGTGGCCTCGGTCGTGGCCGACCCCGCCCGCGCTACCCCGCCCCGCCCCGCCCGGTGGCCGGCAGTGGGTCAGCAGGGACCAGGACTGGTCAGGCTGGCCCTCGGCCTCCGGCCTGGCTCTGGGTTAGCTCTGGGTTAGCTCTGGACTGCCACCGACAGGACAGGACGAGAGCAGGGTCCAGGGCGGCGTGGCGGCCCGGCGTCCAGGGAGGGATGAGCGCTGAGGTCCCCGTTCGGGTCACGGTCGTCGCTGCGTCTCAGCGTTCCGTCGCTTGTCTCTCTCGCTCCTGTACGGCGGGAAGCCTGGCAAGTGCGAGAGAGACGCGACGACAGCGATGAGCTGAATCGGCGTGCAGGTGGCCGCGGCCCGCCCCTGGCGTGCCCCTGGCGTGCCCCCGGCGTGCCCCTGCCCCTCCCCGGCGTGCCCCAGACCTTTCACCCAGACAGGCCCCCCAGACAGGCTCCACCCCGGCCTGGCCGTGGCCTGGCCGTGGCCCTCCCTGGCCCGCAATGTGTCGGTGTGCGTCGCGGTCCGCCGCGGCGATTTGGCAGAAGAATGCCTCATTATAAAAGCGAGAGCGGTGCCCGGCGTCAGGGTGCCCGAGTCCGGGAACCGTTCCAGTGTGCACGCCGGCTTCCTCCCGATTCGAACCACTCACTCCTCTACGCCAATTTTGACGAGGTTTTTTTTTTTACCACGGGCGCGTCCGCTGTTCAGGCACGGCTCCACCCACTTGACGCTTCAGTTTTTGCTCGTGGCTTGCGGTGTCAAAATAAGGCGCTGCAAGGCGCATGAAGAAAGTAATCCTTGCGTTGGCCGCCGCGGTGGGGGAGGGGGAGGGGGAGGGGGGGTCCCTTTCACCGTGCGGGAGGGGCACCCGGGACCCGGGGCACCCCAATGACGACGACCTGGGAGATCCGTGAACAACGCACGCGATGACGCGTCGCCACGCTTTCATCACTGACGCCACCAGACGCACAGCCGACACGGCGGACACGGCGGACACCGCCACGAGGCGAAGGGAGCAAGGGCCGCTGCCGCGCCGACGGCGACACGGCGACGGCGTGAACACGTGGGGACACCTCGGGACACCTGCAGGACAGCTCCAAACGGGACACCTACGGACACGTGGGCGCCGCCACGCCGTCGCGCACCTGTGCGACGCGAACACCACGCGAACGGCGTGGTAGGAGGACGTCGGGCGCCCCAACGAGCTGGACGTCGTCCAGTAGACGCTGTCCAGAGGACTCTGTCCAGTGGACGGGCTGGACAGGGCATCACACCACCCCAGAGCACGCCAGTGTGGGCCACACTCACTCGGTCAAGGAACACAACAGGACTTTCACTCCGGTCGCCGCCCCGCCGCCCCCCGCGCCGCGGGCTGCCAGCACACGCAGCACGTCGCTATGTGCAGGCCGTAAGCCGTCCGCCGTAAACGGCTGGCCCTGGCCTTGCCAGCCTTGCCAGCCTTGCCCCTGACTGGGGCCGCTTAGGGGCCTTGCTGGAGGCCTTGCTGGAGGCCTTGCTGGAGGCCTTGCTGGAGGCCTTGCTGGAGGCCTTGCTGGAGGCACTCTTGAGACACTTTATGCTTGTGAGGTGCTCGTCGCAGGTCGGCACGCTTGGGGACGCTCTGCAGACGTCCCGGAGAAGACGCTCCATTTGGAAATCTTGCCGTTCGTTCCATGTCGAGCCTGTGGATGGTCGTGGAGCCCTCTGGCCTGTTGTTGGGCTTCCCTAGTTGTTCACACAGCACTGTAAAGTGGCCGCAGGAGTGCCCTGGGCGGTCCTGGGGTCACTAGCCTGCGCCGCATCGGGGTCCACCAGGTCCACCGCAGTCGGACGCGAAACCGCACCAAACCGCACAGTCCGGACACGACACGCGCGACACACTTAGGCCCTCGGTCCGATCGGGAGGCTGCAGTGCACGGAGGCCGCTCCACGCGCGGACGTGCCGCGGTCGCAGCCCCTCATGGGGCCTGCACGACGGCCTGCACGACGGCCTGCACGACGGCCTGCACGACGGCCAGCATGCCATGCCCAGGCCTGGGACAAGCTGAGGTTAGGTTAGGCTAGGCAGGGCTCACCTGGTTGGTATCCACACAGCGCCGCACTCACTCACAGACTGACTGCCGCCTTCCAGGCCTTGGGCCAGGCCGGGGCCAGGCCGGGGCAGCCGCTCTTCCCTCGAGGTGAGGTGAGGTGAGGCCAAGGCTTGCTTGGCCAAGGCCCGTAAAGAGGTCGGAGCAGGAGGGGGGCTCCGCGGCTCCGGCCGGACGAGGGGTAGGGGCGGGAGCGGTGCGGCAGGTACGGCGCGACGCGACGCCTCTCGACGCCACGCGCTACTTTCCCCCACGTCACCGCCTTCACCGCCTTCACCGCCCCGCAAGGCCCGGCCCCCTGGCCCCCTGGCCCCCTGCCCGCGGCCCCGCCCTGCTGCTGCCGCTGCTGCCGCCGCAGCGGGATGCCTACCCGGTACCCGGGTACCCCCCGCCCCGGTGCTCGCCCACCCGGCCGGCATACCCGTACCCGTCCTCGACGTGGCCGTCGTGCCTGTGCCGCCGTCGGGCCGTCGGGGCGTGCGCCAGCGGCGGCAGCGCCGCCAGCACGCCGAGCTAGCCGCATGCCGGGCAGAGGGCCCAACCCCATACGCGGCACGCCGACGGCGACGCCACACTGCCAAATATTTGCCGAGGTGGAAAGTATTATTTAGTCACTGTGGGATTAGCCCGGCCGGGGGCACTGCTCGCTGCTCGCTGTTGACGAACCTGGCGGCCTGGGCGCCTGGCGGGGCTGCGAGGTCCTGGAGGCTGCGCGAGGCTGCGTTTCGGGTTAGGCCCGTTCGGCCTGGGACCGGCGGACCGCTTCGCCGGAATCGCGGAGAGACTTCCTTCAGAAGCTCCGCAAGCTCCGGCAGGTCCTTCCCCCTGCTTCCCCCTCCGAGGCCCCTCTCCCCTCCCCTCCCGCGCCTCTCCCCTTTCATTGACTCCCTTGCCGACGCCGCGGCGCGGCGCCACGCTCGGCCCGCCTGGGTTGTGTCTTCCCGTCTTCCGAAGTCGGTCACCGAGTCCATAGAATGGAGGCTAGTCGCTTTCCGGGTCGGTGGGTAGCTCGGAGAGTAGCTGAGCTGCGTGGACGGTGCGCCATCCCCCCTTCCCCCTTCCCCGCCCCAGTCCGATCGGTCCGATCCGACTCTCGGCTCTCCGCTTATCTCAGCGCCACGGCTACGGGGCTACACTCAGCGCGGATTGTTTTACATCATGCCACCGCACCGCATTGCGTTGCACTGCTGCGAGAGGCGCGCATCGCCCTGCCGCCCTGCCCTCGCCGGAGGCTGCGCCATGGCTGCGCCAGGACGTGTAATCAATGTGCTCATGACTCTGGGAAGGGCTGGGCTCCCGAACTTCCAACATGACGGAGACAGAGCGTCGTATCTGAACACAGATCAGATCTCTTATTCAAAACGTCAATCTCCCAACTGACAACGATTTATTCGTTTCGAACTCCGGACTACACTTGTATTTGAAGTAACAATTTTCACCTCTCTCAAACAATTAAAATTAATTTTTGTGAAAATTTTATCTGTATGAATCTTTTTGGTTTCCCCGGAAGCCTTTGAACTGACCGCCAGTCAGCGCCTTATCGCGGGTATGTTGGCGACGTTTGTGTTTTGTTCATGTTGGCAGTCCCTGTCTGCGTCTGCTGTCAACATAACCTCCTTCCTGTCGTGGTTTTCGTTGAGTTTGGGGAATAGTTCCCACGGAGATTTCCTTCATTTGTTGTTGTTCGCCCGATGCCAGAAAAATAGATCACAATGCCGAAAGTCAAAGCAGAAAAGAAATCTCGCGTCCACGAGACGATAGCGAAACAAGGTGAGAAGACAATTAAACCGACATAGGCTTTGATACCATGTGTCGTCTTAGTTGAGGTTATTCATGTTAGTTTGTTGTCATTAAAAGAAAAATGTATCTTTGTTAAATGTCAATCATTACTCTTAAAAGGGAAGCATAGTTCTCGGTTTCTACTCTAACTTATGTTCTTTGGCTCCTCCCAGGTATACTATTTAACAAAAACTTCGGCCAACACATACTCAAAAACCCCTTAATATCAAAGACCATGATTGAGAAAGCTGCTCTGCGGCCGACAGACGTTATCCTGGAAATCGGTCCTGGTACTGGTAATATGACAGTTCTTCTTCTGGAGAAAGTCAAGAAAGTAGTAGCCTGCGAAATAGATCCAAGGTACACAAGTTAATCATATCGCATGCAAGTTTCTGATCTTCTGTTTATTCTCTTACTGTGTACTGTGTGGCTTATTTATTTTATCTGTTTTAGACTTGTTGCGGAGTTGCAGAAACGTGTGGTCGGAACACCATATCAACAGAAACTTCAAATTATGATAGGAGATGCACTTAAAACTGATTTACCATTCTTTGATTGCTGTGTAGCTAATGTGCCTTACCAAATATCATCTCCTTTAGTATTCAAGTTACTTCTTCACAGGCAAGATATTGAGTGTTTTGATTGTTTGTGCTTTTGTATGTCAACTATTTATTAATTATGCTATTTCACCCCTGCAGGCCTTTCTTTCGCTGTGCTATCCTTATGTTCCAATTGGAATTCGCTCAGCGTCTTGTAGCCAAGCCCGGAGATGAACTTTACTGTCGACTGTCAATTAACACTCAACTTTTATCGAGAGTTGATATGTTAATGAAGGCAAGTGTTTTTTTTCTTGGAACTTAGACTATTTTTTCTTATTCTAAACATATTTGCTAATCATTGTCTCTTGCTGGTTTAGGTGGGAAAGAATAATTTTAGGCCTCCCCCCAAGGTTGAATCATGTGTTGTCAGAATAGAACCAAGAAATCCTCCTCCCCCAATCAACTTCACTGAGTGGGATGGCTTGACTCGGATATGTTTTGTTCGTAAAAACAAAACTCTCGGTGCCATTTTCAAACAAACTGCTGTCCTCACAGCACTGGAAAAAAATTACAGAGTCCACTGTTCTAAGAACAATGTGGTGAGGAATTGTTTTATTTCAGTCATTACCTTTCATACTGGTACAATTTGAGTAGCCTAAAGTGTTATTTTCCCTCTGCCTTAGACTTTGGATCCTAATTTGGATATCAAAAAGAAAGTTGAAGACATTCTGGCAGCAAATGGTTCAGAACTAAAGAGAGCCCGGACGATGGACATTGATGACTTCATGCAGTAAGTATTGCCATTTTGTTACCATTGATACGAGTAACAATTTTGGTTTGAAGAGAATTTGATTGTGTAACCAAGTTCATCTCTTATTTTTGTTTCCTCCTTTAGATTACTATGCGCTTTCAACAAAGACGGGATCCACTTTGCATAATGTCATAATAGTAGAAGAATATTAATTGCTGGTATGTAATACCAGTACATGATTTGATTCAAATTTTTGTGTTTTGGTGAGAAATGCATTCTTACACATGAATTAATATTATTTGTAATTCAAATACAAATTTATTAATTTTTGACCTCATGAAATTGAATCTTATACACTGGATCAAATCTACACATATGACTGGGTTAGGGGCTAGTCCCAATGACTAGAAAGCTTAAAAAAACCTTAGTTTAAAAAAATAAATCTAACATACTTATGTGTCATAGCAGTCTTTAAGGAGTTGAGTACATTGTCAGCGGGCTGACTATTTCTTCAAAGTTATGATGTTCACAAAGCTAACTAACCTGGTATGTTTATTACTTTGGCCCATTCTTCTTTAGGCCACACACCATTTTTTTCCACATTTGGAGGGCTGGATTTCCAACTCCATTTAGTAACAGGAGTAAACCAATCTAAACCATAATTGGCTTCAATATATCGCCTAGTGTTGCATGGAACCCTTACCAGCAGCTCAAGGAATTCGGTCCAACAGAGGGAGAATGCTGTAAATGTATACCTGCAAAAATAAGCCTTTGACAGATTTCAAATCACATAATGGATGATACCTAGCAAGTGAGTTTTAAGTGGTTCTTACCTATACTTTTGGCCTGACCTAGCTTCTGTCCCACCATTCCACATAGTGCCTTTTTCTTCATCAACATAAAAGAAAAATATATCCAACTTTAGTTTCTTGTACTCAAAAGCAATTTGATAGCTGTCATTTGCTTTTCCAAACGTGTGATGCAGTTTGAAACCATGTGATAAGAATGCAGGAATGATTTCTTCCTTATAATCAGAAGCAAAAACGCCTAAGTCAACATCTTGGCTGTAAGGAATGAAATCACATTGTCGCAAAAACCCTGAAACAGAAATTATACTGTAATGTGCAGAGAGTAGATAAAAAACCTCTTATACTGCAAGGCTTTGATCGGAACAAACCTAAACAGGTGCCACTACTCAGCCAGAAGGGAACCTCTAGATCATCAAGAATTCTTTTAGCTCTTGAGAGCATTTTCCAGGCTTGATGCTTGAACCGTATTGCAGTTATTGACTGATCTCTTCCATGAGTTCTGAAAAATGTATCAGCTCGTTTGTAATCACACTCAATGAAATTCGATGAGGTATCTGATATTGCCCTTAGAAAGGCTGGGATATCCTTAGGTACCAGAAAGTGGTACTCTAGTAGTTGTGCATCGACTAGATCAAACCTGAAGAGGAAGAGGAAAACAGAAACATTTAAGAAAAAGTGGTTTAAAAAAGGTACTGAAGAGTGACAATAGAGTAGTGAAGAAGCATACTTGGGAATAGCCCCTTCAGTTGCCATAAAATGCTGCCTGCTTAGCAAAATACCAACTTTCTTCAAATAATTATTTCCTTTGAGATCATCATGTACAGATCCATGCCACCAAAAGTTATCCTGCAATAAGGGTGTGTATGGTGACTATTTTTTTCCTCCATCAAATTTATCACACATATTAATTACCATAATGAATACCTCTCTACCATGAAGTATGACTACTAGAAATGAGTAATTCTTCCTTAAAACAAGAGCTGTTGTAAGTATAGATGCCTTTGGGGGTAAACCAAATATCTTCTTGCTTTGTGTTGCATAAACTGAGAATCCTTTGACCTCTAGTTTTTTTACAAACTCATCAAATAAAACCTTCTTCTGGAGAAAATTAAAAAAAATGAAATTTTGGTAAGAAATTTTTTTACCAGTTAAAGATATGAAACAATCTGATTGTAACATGCCTTTGGGATGCACGAGGAGTCGACAGCAAGGAAAACATCGTCACCATCAAGACGACAGTCTGCACCACCTCCCACACAATCAAGAATGTTCTGCTTCACATTCCATACATGAGCTAATATTTTGGGACTGATGATGAAAGGAGTGCAGCCTTCCGCTCTTATAACAAAATCTAAAGTTTGTCCTTCTTGTAAAAACTTTTCACTAATGGAAATGTTGAGCCGAGGTACTTGACCCGTCACAGAGACTAGCCTCTCATGTAAGAGCGAGGGAACTCGATGATTTCCTCCAATAAAGGCAAGGCCCATGTAAACAAAAGCTTGAGCTAGGAGGAAGACACAACTGACAAGGAGAAGTTTCTTGCCAGACGGCCTGAGGCGAAACATCTTGGTTATGTCGACGTTCACGTAGTGAAAAAACAGACATTTTCGGGAAATTTTGGATATTCGTATGAATGAAACTTTGCCTCGATCACACCTAAAGACGACATAATGGAGATTCTTGGCGTTACAAGTCAATATTTCCGACTTTAGGGGCTTTTATTTACGAATGTCAGCGGTGGCAGACTGAACGGCAACCGCGGGCGGCCATGTTTTTTTGACGGAGATGTGCACCAACCTCTGTAAAAGTGAAAACAAAGCAAAAATTCATATCTTTTATTTGTTTTCTTTTCAGTAATTAAAAAGCTATTAGGAACTTGATCTCAGCAGTGATCTAGGGCTGTTTCTTTAGGTGTCAAAACAGCACATCAAAGCGGAAAACTCAAAAACTTTACTTTGAAAAGCTGCTTAACTGTCAGGGAATGCGCATTGCCAACAGTACAAAACAGCCTCGTTACAAAACTATGGCTGGTTACCCGTTGAAAACTTGCCTCTCCATCAAGACAGCGATTTTGTGCAAATATTATACGTGACAGTTTTGTTACATGAACCGTTTCATTAGCATTTGTGTGCCCAGTTACCATTAATTATGTAGCTGTTGGTGACCTTAAATTCTAGCAGAGAGACTGTTTACAAGGCAGAGAAGCAGTCTTGTCACTTTCATTTACGTTTTCACAGCCTAAAAGCACTTGCTCCATAAAAAAAATAAAATACAAAATTTCTTTCAGCCTAAGAGTTTTCCATATAGCTTTGTTGTAAATGTGAGACTGTTTTTGTGGTGTGTCGGCAATCTCTGCCTGAAGTCTAGTTGTTGTCGAGGGGAAGGGAGGAAGGGAGGGGATGCAATCAGGCAAAGGGGGTAATGGCGACTGTGTTGTGAGGGTAAATTTATCCTTCGGATCTTCTTATTTCAAGTTCATTTTGTTCAGTCTTGAAGACAGGTGTTCCTTTTACATCAGATCGTCAACTGGAAGGTTGTGTCGCATTACTACTTCAGTTTTATGTAGTTACGATTGTGGATGCTAGTTGTCAGGTGTTCTAATTTGAGTACTGTAATGAAGTGGAGAAACACTTTTTAAAGATATCCATTAGAGTTTACTTTCACTTCATTAAAAATTTCGTCCATGGTCCAAAGGATGGCGAAAGACGAAGTGGACGATTTGTTGCCAGACAAGGATGCTGCCAAGGAGTTTTATGCAAGATATGAACCTAAAGAGATCCTTGGAAGGTGAGTAACTTTCTTACAACCTTTAAAATCACGTTTGATTGCTCTTGTGCATTGTGAACGACAGTTTTCAACTGATCCTTATGTCATGGCAATAATGATCTTTTTTAGTAGACACTTAAACCACTCCTTATGTTGATAGATTTTTTGATTGTGTACATTGATTAATTTTCTGCCAACAGGGGTATAAGCTCCACAGTACGTCGTTGTATTGAAAAAGAAACAGGCATAGAATTCGCAGCTAAGATTATTGACTTGAGTAACGATTCACATGATGGTGGTGGTGATGGGAAAACAATGCTTGAAGCAACTATAGAAGAAGTCAAGATTCTTCGATTAGTTGCTGGACACCCCTATATAAGTGGGTTTCTCCCAATTTAGTTTTGCAGTTTTTTGGTTGAAATGTGTTGTTTTCAAATTATTTGCCTATTTTTTCTATTCCAGTTGAAATGCACGATGTCTTTGAGTCCAGTACATTCATATTCCTTGTATTTGAGCTCTGTAAGAATGGAGAATTGTTTGACTACCTGACTACTGTTGTTACACTATCAGAAAAGAAAACTAGGTAAACTGAGAAAATTTAACTTAATACTGTACTCTTAAGGGCAGGTGTTTTATTGTGCCATCTACTTACGCCCATCAAAATTTTCATTGTTCGACAGATACATAATGAGACAACTCTTTGAAGCTTTGAAATATGTCCATAGTAAAAACATTGTTCATCGAGATCTGAAACCTGAAAACATCCTGTTGGATGACAATTTAAACATTAAACTGACAGACTTTGGGTTTGCTCGGGTATTGCAACCTGGGATGAAGTTGACAGGTAATTTGTTTATTTTTTCAAGACTTCATTGTTACAGTTCTTTTTTTTTTTTTTTTTCACTGAAATCACATTTGCTTTACATATTAAGTCATGATGGGTTTTAGTTTAAGTGTAGAAGTGAAACTGATACATTCAAATCAAAGCATGTGACTTGTTTGTATAGAGAAGGTTGGTGTTAAGAGTTCTTACCTAGTGTATATTTTTGTGTTGTACTCATCCGCTTCTTTAAAATCCATCAATCCATTATTTCATTATTTCCTGTTAGATCTCGATTCTTTTGTGCTGTTCTTTATGAAAATTTGTGATTTCTGTATGTTCTACCCTAATCGCACTACCATTCCAATTTTAGATTTATGTGGTACACCTGGTTATCTAGCTCCTGAGGTCTTAAAAACCAACATGTTTGAAGATGCAGAGGGCTATGAGAGAGAGGTGGATTTGTAAGTAGTTTTTTGGTTCTAGCTCTGGTCAATTATTTCCCTTGGTGTGCTTTGTGTGCTCGTGTAGCTGTTAGTAATGATTGGCTGCTTCAAAATTCCTGCATGTTTTCTAGCACTTTGTGTCTTGCTTTCATTTTATAATCAATGCTCTTGCCATGGTGTCTTCAACTTTTTTCTCTCATATTGATGCCGTTCTGTAGTTGTTTCATATCTAGCATGCTTTTGTAGTAAAAACTAAAATTTTACCAGCACCAAAATATTTTTTTCTTTTCACAATACATTTTTATGCAATATGTTCTGTGCACTTAATATTGCTTTCCTACTTGGCTGTTTTGGCATAGAACTTTGTGGCACCCCTGGATATATTTCACCTGAAATGATAAATACAGCTATGTATGAGAACCAAGACGACGCAGAAGGTTATGACTTAGCTATTGATCTGTAAGTTTTTCTTACCTTTCCCCTTAATTCTTTTCTTAAACCATTCTGGAAAAAAAAGACACTCTCAAGTTCAGAACAATAATATATTTTTTTTGTTTTTTATGCTATTTAAGTATCTTGATAAGAAAGAAGTGCTGTTTAGTTTGTTGTTTGCATGGCTTTTGATTCTACAGCTTCTCTTCTGTTACTAATTTTCTTATCCACAGATTTAAGAAAACAAATGATTGGAATAGATTTGTGGAAAGAGATTAATTTCTCATCTATTTTTGAATATTATTTCTTATCTTGCCATTAGACAAATGTGCAGATGTTCTTGAAATCTGACCTAACTTTATTTACTTTTACAGGTGGGCCTGTGGTGTGATCATGTACACATTGTATGTATTTTCATCTAACAGTAGGCTTTACAATTTTGAAGAATTGGACTTTCTAAACAGATCTTTACAATTATACTTCTTCCTTTGTTTTAGACTTGTTGGGTGTCCACCATTCTGGCACAGGAAGCAAATGGTCATGCTGAGGAATATTATGGAAGGAAAATATTCCTTCACATCACCTGAATGGGCTGATATATCAGGTAAGTACATCCTTTGGACTGGCAAACAAAATTCTCTTTCTCTCTCAACACTATTTTCTCCTCCTCTTTTTATTACCTAGAGCCCCCAAAGGACCTGATAAGGAAACTCCTTGTTGTCGATCCAAAGAAAAGGATTTCTATTGATGAAGCTCTGGAGCATCCATTCTTCCATGTCATGGTATTGTACATCAAATTAATGTTTATTGAGGTTCCTTTGAAGCCACCTTCACACACTGTATGTGCTGTCTGTTAATTTTGGGGACTTTTCTCTTCTTATGAGCTCAAAAACGTCTTCAGCTCTGTAACAAGAGTAAACTGCTTTAAATGTTTCTATGAAATGTAGATGTAGTGCTTTTCACTTTGTTTTTCGTCTTATTCGAACTTTACACAACATTATCTTGGTTTTTATTTCTAAAGAAGATATAGGGCTTTTCAAATTTTTGTAGAATTGTTTTATCTTCTTTTTACTTTTAATTTTCCAATTTTTTGTCAGCATTCACTGTTGCTTCTTATTCTGCACGTATAGTAACGCTCAGCTACAAGTTGTACCTTAATTAGCACAGCACAATAATTGTAATGGCAAAGCTATTCATTGCATGCTTATTGGTTGTGGCATGCACAGTTGTGGGACCAGGACATCGCACCACTCAAACGCAGTCTCTCCACTTCCTCGCGCCGTCTTAGTCGCATCTCCGAGATGGCTTTGGTAAATACAACAGTGTTGCTGTCTGTTTACAATTTTGTGATGCCATTAGTTTTACTTGCTAACTTGTGAGTTACCTCTCTTGTGCATATGTTGCAGGTAATGCTTGCCTATTTGTGACTGTACTTTTTGTCTTGAAATAATGTTTTCCATTTTATTATTATAAGTCTTTTTGCTTTCTTTCTAATTTTTTAATTTTTATGAACCAACAAAGTTGAGGAACTATTCATTATTGTTTGGAGTGTTGAGAGAGATACAAACTGATCTAGCTCGGTTATTGATTGCTCAATTTTTCTTTTCTTTTTTTTCACCTTCTGTAATTACGCACTTCCCTTTTTTATCTCCTGGCTATAATTTCTTAGGATAAGTAAGATTTAATCCATCTTCTTGAGCTTTCCTGTAACCTCTTTGGATTTTCTTGAAATTTGGGCATCAAATTTGCAATTACCGGTAGTTTGGAACTGGGATAGAAATGAAAAATTGCCTTTATGATCTCAGTACTACTATATTTTGGATAAGTGACAGAATTTTGACGTTATAATCACATTCTAAAACAGTCTTAATTGTCTTTATCTTTTTAGGCCTTGAAAGCAAGTGCTTTTAATGCAAGAAAGAAATTCCAATTTGTCATCTTGGTGGTTCGTGCTGCTATCCGCATCAAACGACTGCGTTTCACTCCAGAGCCACTTTCTATTGGAGTCGCAAGAGTGGACCCCTATCGCATTAAAATTCTCAGAAAGGTAAGATTTTTCTTTATTATTTATGTGGTGCTGCAGCCACCTTTGTATGAAAACTGCTAATGTGATTATTTTAATGTTTGGTTATAAAGGTCATTGATGGCTGTGCATTCCGTGTGTATGGTCATTGGGTCAAGAAGGGCGAAGGTCAAAACAGAGCAGCTCTTTTTGAAAATACACCAAAGACTGAGTTGAAGCACATGTATGTAAGTCATCTTAGTCGATAAGGGCTTCAAAATATGGTGCAGTTATTTGCCAACTTGATTCTTAGTACAGTGGTTAGTCTAGAATTATGACTGTGTTGGTATTGCATCAACTGTGATCAAGGGCAGGATTTTTATTCCAGCCAAATATTGGATTATTACTTGTGCTGTTCCACATGTTCTCTTAAACCTCTCCATACATATGTATACTAAAAACATTTTGGTCTTTCCCTTTAGTGTTCTTAACAACACGTGCAAATTTACTATTTTAACAGAAGCTTTTGATTGACTGCTCAATCTCAGTTTATCTTAAAGCTGCCTCTATATATTTTTGACTCATTCATTAACATGAAATTTTGTGTTGCTTGCAAACCAGAGCCACAGTTTTTTTGCTATTGTCCTTTAAATTTTGAGTGCAACTTTGTGATACAGAAGCCAGCTGTGACCTCACAATTAAGGAAGCACATCTTTGCAGTATTTGAAGAACCTTTGTCTTTCTGAAATTGAGGTGCAGGCGAGGATGTGAATTCATGTAATACCATACTTCCAATATTATTCTTGTGTGAGTCAGCTCTCTTCCTGTTTTATTTAATTAGTTCTTTTTCCCTTATCAAAAGTATCATTTATGCTGCCAACTGAACTACAGCTTTATTGTAGAGTCATTTAAAGACGAAAATGGTGCTCTCAGCAAGGGTGCATGCAAAAAAGTGTAACTTGAGGTCCTATAGGCGAGCCCCATGTGTGTGCCACAGTTGATTTGTGCCTTTTCAGACAACTTGTTATGTGATATACATCCAAATATACTTTATTTGTTTTGAAGGATATAGTACAAAGTGGGTGCTGTTGGGTCTGTATGCTTTGGCCTTTTAGTTGCTCTTGTAAGTTAATATCTACTGCTTGTCTAAAGCATTGAAGTTATTTAACTTGGAGGTAATCTTTCCTCAAAAATTCTTTTCTTAGAAACAGTGTTTACCATAAGTTGCAGTGGTTCCAATGTCTTTGTTTACTTATCATTATGTCTCTGCATAGCTTGATATTGCTCCGTTATAATCATTAGCTATTTAAATGTTATGCTACATTTCATTGCATGTTTTGTCGTACTTACAGAATAACTGCTCCAATTTAACTTGTAATTTTTGGTTCTATCATTTGGTCTGCATTAAGGTTCACAGCCTCAAAGGAATTACAAAAGCAGCCTGCTTGTTTCTAATCAGTCAAAGAAGATATTTATTTTTGCTTTTTTAAATGGGGAAATGTTTAATTTTTTATGTGCTCCTTGATAGCAAGTTAACAAAGAGCAAGAAAGATGTATCAACCTCAGATGAGTTGCAGTACCCTTTTGTAGGTGATCTGTTCTTTGGTAACTTCTGTTACTCAGTTCCTTTAGTTTGAATTCCTAGGTTAATCGTTAATGGGAGTGAAGTTCTTTCTTTTTAGTAGACAATTTTATTTAAGTCAAGAATTTTCTCTCACCTTGCACATAGAAGTATTTTATAAGGATTGCTTTACCATAACTCTCTGAAGTAAGCTTCACTAGTTGCGTTCTGAGATGGTTATTTCATTTATTTGCAAATGCTAAATTCAATCGGAATGTCTCTTTTGGGTAGCATCAATTCCATGCTGTTGTTTGAGGAATTTACCAATTGGTTATAATTTGAGTAAGAGGCCTGGTTGTATGTTTTGGGAAGATGCAGGTAGATGGCTGATGTGAACAAACCAATTTTACCATAAAATTATTTTATTTTTCAGACCAAGTGACCATTATGTTTATTTTGCCCTATTATTATTATTATTATTTATCTTGGCTTTCTAAGCGAACTCAATCCTTAGTTACCTTAAAGCAAACTCCTAATAGACGTTTTTTTAAAATGTGTTCTTTTTTTAAAATTTAAAGCATTTTGGAGATCTCTGAGACCAATGGAGGACCAATATGTCTACTATAATCTGTTATGTATTTGAAATTAGGAGTCTCCATTCAAGCTTGAATATAATACTTGGAGCATTTGTCAAAAATAGAAAACTTTTCCTTAACCATACTGTTTTGTTCATGCAAATTTTCAAACTTGAACACATCTCATCATTCTCTGTTTGTAATGGTTCTCTCCCGGAATGTATGGATTGTGCTCTGTTTTGTTCCTTCTGAAAGGTGAATAAATGTGTTAAGTATTACATGAGACCTCACTTTGAGGTGATGTAAATAAGAAGAAAATTTAATTTTTGTGTTATATTTTTGAAAAATAAATTTAAAGATTTAGCCCTCCTATGTTTGGAGTTCTCTGTAAGTCAAGTAACCATATTGTGATTGTTGATATTGTTAATAAAGAGTGTTTTCAAATTGTTGTAATTTTTTAGCTCCCATATATTCTTTGAGGCAGCGACTGTGTACATGTCAAACTACTCTGTAACTTTGTCCTGGTAGTAAACTGTGGGCGTGCACAAGAAATCCCAGCAATCTTTGGACTGCAGACATGTATTTAAATGTGGCCATCGAGTTCCCAGCGTCTGATGTCTTGGCGTGCTCCTTCTGACACAGTCAGGCCAAGGTGGGTTTCAAACAGTGCTTTCGTCGCTCTGTCTCTCTCGGACTCGTGGGGCGTCCCGTGTGAGTGCGAGAGACACAGCGGGACGAAACACTGTTGGGAATGAGTCGGCAGGCCACGGCCCGCATGGCATGGATCCACATGACGCGTGGCTGCTGCCGCTGCTGCCCACCCAGCGTGCTGTCCCGCGTGACCACGCGTGCCTCGTGCCTCGCCCCAAGCCGGCTGCAGCGGGGCGGGGTGTTGAGTGTTGTAGGTCAGCGACGGCACTTCGACGGGTCGCCCCAGCCGGGCCGGGCCTTGGCTGGCCCTTCCCTCTCCAAGCTCTGCCTGGTGCTGCGACGTGTCACGATGCGTGAGGCACGCCGAGGCGTGCCAGACGGCACACTCATTCCGAGCACCATTTCGTCGCTGTCTTTCTTGCCCCCCTGCGGGCCGCCCCATGAGTGCGAGAGGGACAGAGCCACAACGCTGCGCGGAGTCGCTCGGCGGGTACGGCCGGACCGAGCACGCGGCACGCGGCTTGATTCGCGGGGCCTAGGCAGCCTAGGCGCGGCAAGGCGCGGCGGCCGGCGTGTGGGTGTGAGCCGCGGAGCCGCGGAACGGGTGGGGGCCGAGCCAGGCCGAGCCGAGTCAAGCCGAGCGGCGTCGAGGGGGGCCGAACCTGAGCCGAACGTGCGGCGCATGGCCAACCCGGCGCCCCGCTGCGCCCCGCACCCTTCCCTTTCCCTTCCCCGTCCCGTCTTCCCCGTGCCGCCTCTGACCGGCCTGAGCGGCCTGAGCCCCAGCCTGCCTGCTTGCCGCCCGCCTGTGCTGGCGGCGCTGCGCTCGGCGCTGGCGGGGCGCGTACAGCGTGTAGCCCTACCCTCGCGGCGCGGTGCGGTGCGCGGTGTGGTGGCGTGGCCAGCCCGCTCTGCTACGCTGCCACGCTCTGGCCGAGCCTCTGCCTTGCCGTTGCCGCTCCGAGGCGCAGCGCGCAGTCCCAGTCCGCACTCAGTGTCGGCTGCCGGGCGAAGCCCAGGCGAAGCCCCAACGCCGCGAAGCGCGAACCGCGGACGAGCCCCTGGCAGCCCGAGGCTGCCTTTGGCGTGCCCGCCTGGCAGTGTTTGGCTGTCAGGCCTGGCGAGGCGGCTCGGCGGCTCGGCTCAGCCCAGCGAGGGCGTCTAGTGCGTAGGGCAGGGCTGGGAAGGGCGCACGGCGGCAGAGCGCGTCAGCCAGCGTCAGCCCGCCCGAGGGCCGCCAACTGTTCGCGAAAAGTGTGTGTGTGCGTGCGTGTGCTGTCTTTGTGGTGCAACTTTGTGCCGTCCCATGCGGTGCCGGTCGTGCCCGTCGTGTCCACGCCCGGCCCCAGCCTCGGCCTCCAGTCCAGGGCCCCCCCGCCGCCACCTCCGGCCGGCACAGGGCCCCCCGGCCCCCCGGCGCAAGCCGCGCCAGCCGCGGCAGCCCGAGCCCGGCCGGCACAAGCCTCCAGGGGCGCAGGCTGCGCAGGCTGCGCGGGCCCAGGTGACGCGTCGTCGACGAGGACTTGAGGACGGCGACGTGTGTTGCCGCTGAGGCCAGGACAGCACCGACAGGGTCTCCGGGCCCTTCGGCCAGGGGCCCAACGCCGCGGCTGCCACTGCTACCGCCGCCCCAGCAGCCCTGCCGGGCCCTGCGCCGTGCCGCCCTGCCTCTACCTGCAGGTCGGCCTGGTGGTCGAGGGCCTGGCGTCCGCTGCTGCCGCCGCTGCAGCAGTCGTGGCGGCGGGTTGGCGCTAAGGCCGCGCCCCGAGCGCCCCGAGCGCCGCGTGTCAGGTCAAGTGAATGTGCGTGCGACACCGCGAGCTGGCCCAGGGTGCCCAGGGCCTCGAAGACGTGCACCAGCATCATGGAGGTGCTCCTGGAGGCGGCCAAGTTCGTCGAACTGCAAGCAGAACGGGAGCGGCTCCGCGCGCGCGCACGTGGTGAGTATACAGTGTAGTGAGATGACGAGCACCGCGCGGCACCGCGGCGGGCCGTCACATGACAGCACGGCCCCGCCCCGCCCCGCCGGCCCCCGCTCCGTAGCCATCGCGGATTGCTGGTCGAGCTCACGCGGCGTGGCACCGCGGCACTCACTACACTGGCAGTACAGCCGCGGCCCGCGCGCCGCGCACCGCGCCGGCCTGTCGGCCTGGTTGGTCGGGCCGCAGCTTGGCATGGCAGCTTAGCTTGGCGAGAGCTTGGCCATGGCCAGCAGGGCCAGCAGGGCCAGCAGCCCGGTCCGGCCGGCCCCGCGCCCCGCGACACGCTGCAGGCCCGGCGCAGCCCGGTGCAGCCCGTGCAAGGCAGCGCGGTGCAGCGCGGCCGGCCGGCCGGCAAAAAGGAAAACATATGGTGTGGCTGGTGCCCGGCCGGTCTCGCTCGCACCGCCCTGCCGGGCGGCCACACCGGCCACGCCGCGATTTGGCTCGGCGGGGCTCAAGGCTCAAAACATGACCCGCTCCGATCCCGTCCCGTCCCGTCCCGTGCCGTGCCGTCGCGTCCGCGGGCAGAGACCAAAGACGTCACAGCAACATTCCCCGCGATGATTCCACACCACGCACGCCGTTTCTTGCTTCTTTTACTGCGGGCCGGTGGTTGCTCTTTTATTATTTTCTTTTATTTTGGCAGTAAAACTCTTTCTCTTTTCCCTCCGCCTCCTTTCCCCCCTCGTTGTCGGTGCCCTTTGTCGCTGTGGGGTGGGTCCTCGGCGGCCTTGGGCAGGGCCTCCAGGGCCTCGGGCCGGGCAGCGCGTGGGCGCGATGCAGCTTACTTCTACGCACTGCAACGCTCTGCAACACCGCCAAGCTGCAGCTTCAGAGTTACCCGGTGGCGGGGGCCTTGCAAGCGGCGTGCCGACGGTCCCCAAGCGCGCTTAGCGGCCTTAACAGCGCCTTACGCTGTTTAATCACGAGTATTGAAGCCGCGTTTTAAGACCTCCGGCGTTCGCCTTCATCCGTGTCCCGGTAAACAACGTCCAGGCAGCAGCGAGTTGCCTCCCGGCCAAACAGCGACGCGCTTCCAAGGCGACGGCTTTCCTCCAGGTTCCGGCCACTGAATTATTCTGCAGGACTTTCGCGCGTCCGCCTCTCCGAGCGTCGCGATGATGCTTTCACGAGCGTCTTGACTTTGAAGCTCTCGCAAATCAGCGTCGTCCTTCCTCTTCCGCTTAGGAAGAAGGCCTTGTGTCCCTGAAACACTGAAACAGACGCGGCGTGCTTTTGTCGCCACCCAAGGGCTCCGGGGTTGGCTGGCGGCGGCCTGGCGGCCCGGCGGCCGAAGTGCGGCAGTGCGGCGCTGGAGGGGGAGGTTAGGGCGTAGTTCCAGCAGGTGCTCGGTGGCCGTCGACCTCAGCCTGTGGCTGCCGGCTGCCTCTGGCGTGGCGCGCTGCCGCGGCCGCGCGGCGCAACTCACGGCCCCTGCCGTGGCCGCGGCGAGGCGACGGTGGCGCGGCCGATACAAGCACGGGTACCGGCGGCGTGGCGGTGCCGGTGGTGCCGCGTGGCGGGCGTGGCGAGCCCACAGCCCACGGCCCGCGGTAGTGGCGACTCCAGCGACTCCAGCGCGGCAGGCTCCAGTGCGGCCAAGGCCCTGCCCGGCTAGGTTCCCCTCTCTCCGTACCGCGCGCTGGCCGCGCTCTCCAGTGGCGGTTCCAGGCCGCCAGCTTGTCCAGGCAGTCCAGGCAGTCAGGGCCCCGGCACGCTGGACCATTGTTCGCCACTGCATCGGCCGAGTGCTTGGCAAGGGACCCGAAGGGACGCGGAGGGACCGTCCCTTGATGACACGATACATAATGCATAGCGTTGGCTGCCAGCCCGGAGCGCCCGGAGCTTGGACCTTCTCGCTCGGCGCTCGGCCTCGCCGCGTCTCCCCGAAGGCAGAAGGAAGGCAGCGGTGCATCGCAGACAGTGGACGCCGTGCTCGAAGCCAGCATCCACCGGCGGCAAGGCCCAGGGAGGTTCCTCTTCCTCGCCCGGGTTGATGTGCGCAGTAAGGGCGTGCCGGCCGGGCGGAGCCATGGGCCTTGGTGGAGCGTGGAGCGGGGCAGTCAGACATCGATTTATCTTGTACAGTGCCGAGGCGAGGCAGCAAGGCGAGGACTGAGGTCATCACAGTGTTAGCCCGTCCTGTCCTCCCACGCCGTCGCGGGTCCGGACGTCTGCTTCCAGTGACGAGGACGAGCGTTCTGGTGACACGCCGATGCGCGGCCTGCCCCGCACGGCCTGCAGGCTTGCACCGCGCGCCCCGCTCCACACAGCGACGCTCTTAACCGGCGTTCGGCGTCGGCGCCTCTCGCGGCCGGCGAGGCGGTGCAGGCTGAGGTGCAGGCCGAGGTGCGCCCCGTGCTCGCCGAGCCGGAGGCTAACGGAAGATAGAGGCGCGAGCCTTTGCCGCCTTCCCCTCCCAGCTGTTGCTCACCCCTCCCCCACCTCCCTTTGGCCCGCGGCGTGTCTCTTGATCTGCTCGTCGTGCACACTGTATGGATTAGGGCATTGATCGGACCCGGCCTTAGGTGGCCGAGGGCGCCGAGGGCAAGGCTGCCAGGGCTTACGCGGTCTTTCATGGCCAGGGGCGCGGTTGGGCTTGCTCTCGGCCTTGGTGGTGCTTGGTTGGGTCCCTGAAGGCAGCCTGAGCAGCCTCCCTCGTTGAGGGTGTAGCCCCGTAGCCCCAATGGACTACAGCATGGATAGGTAGTCCTGTCGAACAGAGCTGCGTGGCGCCATGGCCCCTGCGAAGATCAAGGTAGGCAGTCCCGTCGAACAGGCCTGCGTTACGGGACTGCCTATCCACCAGGC